CATTTCTACCGACTGTTTCTGGGCAAAGCTAACTGACACTTCAGATAGGGTCGAGTCTCCTTCTCGAATTTTTGACTTGTTACATGCATAATATACAACAGAAAAATGGAAAATGTAAGCAGTAAAATATATAAAGTAAAAGAAAGAAACTCAAATAAAGCACAGATACCTGCACTGCACTGTGTTACTTCCCACCTCTTATGATTTCATGTCCACCTCATTATTTCACTTGCAGTTATCTTTTGGTGTGTACTCCCAGTCAGAAGTATGCAGGATGAATGCACATTCTCACCACACATTCTTCTTAAATAATAAATAATATATAATAAATACCTGTTTATGTGTGGGAAAAGGCGTACGCACGTTTTTTGTGTACACATCACTTACACATCTGGCACCCTGTGTCCAGCAGGAGAACTTCATAAATGAACAAAATTAGCATACTCATAGATTCTGGTATTTTTAATGAGATAGAAGGAGGAGATGATTCTGTTGAAAAAATAGACTGTTTCTATATATGTCCTATTACATGTCTGTAGGGGATCGTAGAAACTGGCTGATGTTGATCTGGTTTGGCATTATTTTAAATTCACTTTCTTTGCTAAATGTGATAAACAGGCCCTTTTAGAAGATGTAAGTAAGTGGTACAGAGTGTTTGAACCTTGGTTTAATGAATGAAGAAAATAATGGCCCTTTGGATTGAACTCTATACAGAACATTAATAAATAAATGTACATACACAATTCAAAATGTGAATGAGTTAGTCAAATCTTCAACAGGGTTTATAAGGCCATAAAAGTGCACCTTCAACAGTCATTTTATTTCTGCTGGTTCAGTCTGTGATTCCAGTAATACAGTGGTACATGTTGCCAAAAGAAACTCTGAGCCTCTCCCATGATCACTTTTACTATCTCAACCTCACAAGTTGACACAGCTCTACTGAACCCAGGTTGTAAAAAAGCTTCTGGTCCAGATAGAGCCTTACTTTCTGAAAACTGCTGCAGATATATCCGCAGAGTCTGTTGCTTCTTCATACATGCCGTCGCAAGACAGTTTGCTGTGTCTCCCAGCACAGTCTCAAGAGCATAGAGGAGATACCAGGAGACGAGTTGTACAGGGCCATAGAAGGGCATCAACCCAGCAGCAGGACCAGTATCTGCTCCTTTGTGCAAGGAGGAACAGGAGCAGCACTGCCAGAGCCCTACAAAATGACCTCCAGTGGCCTGCTGGTGTGCATGACCAAACTGTCAGAAACAGACTCCCTGAGGGGTGTATGAGGGCCCGACGTCCTCTAGTTGGACCTGTGCTCACAGCCCAGCACCGTACAGCTCGATTGGCATTTTGCCAGAGAACGCCAGAATTGGCAGGTCCACCATTGGCGCCCCGTTCTCTTCACAGATGAGAGCAGGTTCACACTTAGCAAATGTGACAGACGTGAAAGAGTCTGGAGACGCCGTGGTGATCGTTATGCTGCCTGCAACATTATTCAGCATGACCAGTTTGGCGGTGGGTCAGTGATGGTCTGAGGAGGCATATCCTTGGAGGCTTGCACAGACCTCCACGTGCTAGAGGAGAACCTCTGGGATGTTGTGTATTGGTGCATCCGGCGCCACCAAATAACGCCACAGACCGTCCAGGTGTGCACTAATGTCCTGATCCAGGTCTGGAAGGAGATCCCCCAGGACACCCTCCTCCGTCTCATCAGGAGAAGAAGTGAGTATACTCTCAATTTATGCCCCAAGTTCATTTTTAAAGTGGCCTGTCCAGCAACGGATAACCACCCTGTGTCATAAACAGTGACATGTAAGACTACTCCTGTATATTTAGCTCACTCAGAAGTAGGCCAGTAGTATTTGTACATTGTCACTTAACTTGTACTGCTTGGAATGGAGGTTGGACAATTATTAGGGTGCCCTTCCAGTGGACAAAACGTAATAAAGTGCCTGTGCTAATGCAGACAAATGCATAGACATGAATGTGTGTTAGCTGAATAGAAACAACCCACTTTATATATTTCTAGATGATAACAGTGTTTTCTCTTGTAAACGAATCCTATTTATATTAGTTATGGTTATCAGTTCATACCTGATAAACACCTACTGACATATTTGCTCTGCATTTGTTCTAGATAATTCTACCAGCAAATATTTGATAGTGCTGTGTGTGTGAGGAGAACTGCTCCCTGTGGCTCAGCCTGCTGTTCATGGCTCCACCCAGACACACACACACACACACTTACACAACGAGTTATTTCCTCTGTTTGCGCCAAGCTCAGAAGAGCAAAAAGTTAGACAGAAGTCCCTTTAAATGTTCTGTACTGTCACATGTTTAAACTCTCCAGATGTGTGCTGTCACATGCACAACCTTTGGTTTCCATGTTCCAGCAGGCAGTTATTACCTCATACCTGTGACTTTTGCTTATATGTGAGAAACTTGCTGTAGGTGCCAGGGAGGAACCAGAGCTTCTTGATTCTTCTCTGAGACTAAAAACGGTTGCTGTGTGCACCCTGACACGTAACACATTCCTCCACCACAGCAGCTCTCTTCACCTCCCTTACCTCAGCTCCTCCCGATCCCCGTGGGAATATTCAGTTCGTGTACATGGATACCTTCTTGTTCTGGGATTATAAAGTGTTATCAAAAAGGATTAAGGGGACAATGATGAACAAAAAAACTGGAATTAACAATAAATGAAGACTTGAAGGCTGCAGTTGTTTTTTTCCTGCTTCCTTACTGCTCCACCCTCATGTCCTTGAGAGCCCATAACACAGCGATGACTCACTTCCTCTGTTTGCTCTCCTTCACTGATTTTCAGATCCTCATGAAGCCACATGATGATGATACAGAGATCACAGACATATTACAACCCTAAGTGGAAAAACACTAAATGTCATGTGTTTTTTTTCTTACACTGGAGAAGAAGAGAAGCTGAAAGCAACCTGCCACAACAGATCCATACTGACCCCCACAGATATAAAAAAATATAAAGATAAATAATGACAAAAAACTTACTACTAATACTAAACTATATAACACACATACATAATATCTCATCAAATATCTAATGGCACAATCACTATTTCAAGTCTATGTCTACATAATCTGTATCTACAACTAGGAACAAGAAAGTGGATTTGCTGGTAATTGCACAGTAGCAAGAATTCAGTTGGTTGAATGTCCTTTCATTGTTGTGATTGCAACATTACAACTTCCTAGATCTAATGATTGAAGTACTTCTTCTACCTTTGGTCTCCATCAACACCATGATTTTAATCTGCATACTAGCATTTTCACGTATTCTTCATCAATTTTCCTGGGTACGTTTTAATACATTTGTTTTTACAACATATTATTATTTCTTATGGGGTTCCCCAAGGATTAATTGTAGGGTCACTACATTTTAATCTATACATGTTACATAGGTGCCATATGTGGCCGTGTCTCCTGATGACACAGGACCAATTCATGCCCTTTTATTAGCTCCTGGATGTCACAAAGCTTTTTACACATCAACCAGGATAAGTACTGACTGGGACCTTAAGGAGAAAACACAACACACTTATTTCAAAGTCTTTACATTGGTTGCCTTTCAGTGTTTTGATTTAACCTTCTTTTACTTGTCTTTATAAGCACTCCATGCCCCAGTTTATTGTCTGACATGCTTACAAGGTATGAACCAGAATGGTTTCACAGGTATTCTGGCACTCTTTCAGTTGTTCGAAAGCACAGGACAAAGTCTTTTGGCCTTTCTGCTCCAAGCCGTTGCCATAGTCAACCGAAAGTGTTGACATCTTTGAAACTTATCTAATTTATTTTCTATTAAACTATCTTGTTGGTTTTGTTATTATATTTTTATCATTTTTATTTCTTGTGTGCATTAGCCTACATTTGTTTTACTGTTAACATTTGTGTTATTATCAGCTTGTCAGTCCTTTGTAAAATGTTCTGCATTGCACTAGCTTGTGCAAAAGGTGCTCTATAAATAAAGTTGATTAATTAACTGAACTGTTCTGTTCTGCTATTGTGAGAAACATTATCATGCTTTCTGAAAACAGAAAAAAGGTTTAGGTTGCCTTGAAATTATTTTCCCATATTATTTGAGTTTCCTCAACGGTTTTGTTTTTACAGTGCAGGTATTAACAGTCTGGGTCAATAATAAACCCGATCACCGTTCATGTGCACATTGGACACAGCTGTGGGTGTGTGTGTTTCAGCTGCTGGTAGATTTCCATTCAGCTGATAGGAGGATCACTGAAGGCTATAAGGTACTTTTTCCTCCGACAACTGCCACAGATAGTCTGAGTTTTACAATGTTTGTCTACTTAAAACCTGTTTCTTCACCAGTCATTGTCACATTGTGCATCCTTGTGGCATTTCAATTAACAAAACAGTGGGTTTTTTAATATTTAAAAAAAAAAAATTTCAAATTGAAAGGTATGTTTCCTATTTGTTCTTTAACATGAATTTCATTTATTATTGCAATTTATTGCAAAATGAAACTTATTGCAATAATAGAGAGAGATTTGTAGGAAAGGTAGATATTTTGTATTTGGAAGTTTTCTATTATTTTGCTGTTAGCAGCAGCACCTGTTACTGCAAGACAAATCTCTCCCTTTATCTGGAGAGACTCTGGACCGGACACACTCACAGTCACAGTCGCAGATAAAGCTGTGATCTCAAGATAACTGGCCTAAGACACTTCCAGCTAATCAGTAATCAGCTCTTGGTCTCTATATTACGGAAGGGTGCGGGTCAAGCCCATCTCCTCTCAATCAGTTTTGGAGAGTTGTGTGCACAGGCCTCTTTCCACACAGGCACTGGTGTACACAGGCGGTTCCATGAGAATGTATGGAGGAAAAGGATGCACTGGTGGACTGGACTGGCCCCTTTGGTGGCCCCATGTTTGAAAAATGTGATGAAGTGGGTGCAGTTTAATGCATGTAGCCCCATGAGGAACAGGAATTCAACAAAACCTAAAACAAACCAGTCAAGTCCTACCATTATCTTGTCAAAAAGCCTTTATTGAAACTACAAACACACACATGTACAAGAAAATTGCTGAAATTTTATACATTCATATATATTTGATATATTTACCGCTATACTGCATCTCACTGAGGCAGGACTGTGTTTTTCCAATCACAATGGTTACAGATATACAAACATCACGCATTTCAAACCCGTCAAGGTTGCACCCGCCTTCCTACAGAGACGCAAACAGGAAAACACTAAAAGCTCACTTTCCCTTCTTCACATCTCTTCTCACCAACGTAAAAACTGAAAATGACAATCAAGATGTTGAAGATTCTAAGATTTTGGATTATCATGTGCATATTCTTTCTATCAGGAGTTCAATGAACATGAAGTCTTTGAAGGACCAGTGTGTGGGATTTAGTGGCATCTAGTAACCAAATGAATACAGCTCAACCTTCCAAGAGCTTCGGAGAAACTATGGTGGCCACAAAACTCGTGAAAAACATAAAAACAAAGCCCTATCTAGATCCAGTGTTTGCTTTGTCTGTTTTTGGCTATTGTAGAAACATGGCGGACTCCATAGAAGAGGACCCTGTAAAAACTACTCATTCTAAGTTAACAAAAGCACAATTTTCATTTTTAAGTGATTATACACGGATGAAAACATACCTATAAATATTATGTTCCATTTCCGTCAATAGATCCTCCTAAATGTTACACACTGGACCTTTAACACCGAATGACAGACTAGCAGGTGATTGGTCAGTTGCTTTGGATTAGGTTCAGGGTTTCTGAAAATGCTTATTGTAATTTTTACAGACAGCAAACAAGTGCAACAGGGAAAAGGAAGAAAATGCACCTAACATTCTGGGCTGAAGCAGTAAGACGTGTAGTTATTCATATACATTTTCACATTTAAAAGGAGAACAAAATACAAAAATACAAATGTTTAACAGAAGGATATAAATGACAAAATAAAGTGAGAAAAATTCTTAAAACTGATATGTTTATAGACATTATACAATTTTGTATATACACACAGATATGACACGGAACATGTATACAGGTCTTTGTACAAGATCAAATATAGGTAGCAGTTAAGTGGCATAGACGCTTTGCTTTAGTATGAAATCATTAAACATTGGTCTCAAGGCTTTATACTGCTCCAGAGGGCAGAGAAGGGTGGTTCACTCACTCACTCACTTACTCACTCACTTACTCACTCACTCACTTACTCACTCACTTACTCACTCACTTACTCACTCACAATTTCTCAGTTTTAAACAGAGGGGGAAATGTATAGCACAGCTGATACATGATTTTTGAGGCCAATACCTATATTGATATTTCAGAGTTTTAAAAAATCTCAATTATAATTATATAATCACCCAATATTCTTTTTTTTGCTCAACCTACAACAAACACTGACATGGCTCCCTTAAATTTGTGTTTCTAACAAGGAATGTACTGGGCGGGACAACTTGCAGTTGAAAAATGAACTTCAAGCTGGACAAACTACAGAATGGTGAAACCACTTTAAAAAATATCTTTGGCATTTCCATATTTCAAATATGGTTTTCATTAATCTGCCGACAATAACCAATATATCTGTAATGAGTTCCTATTGGGGTATTTATAGTGGAGTTGGTTAACATGCAAGCTGACCAGCTAATGAAGTAGCTAGCTGTTTCTGGTGAGTGAACAAGTGTGCCATGGCCGTGCAAATTCCGTTTCAGAGAAATATACCTGCCGGATTTTGTTTTTCTTCTATGCCCTGACAATAATGTAATGTAAAGAGAATATACATCCACAGCATCAGTAGTTCACAGATCTGAGTATTGGCCTTCAAAATCCTGCATCCTTTAAACCTCCCACGAGTCTCTTCCTTTAGCTCACCCACTGACAAACCCAACATTAAGAGCAAGCATCACCACAAAGCTTCTCACATTAAGTGCAACAGCCATTTCAATTTGGAGGAAAAGCTGAAGGATTTACTGAACCTAGTGGAGAGAACCAGCTGGAAGAGGAGCTGAACACTTACAGGTACCACACTGATATGACAGCAGGGACAAAAGGCCCCAGAAAAAATTGACCTCACAGGTATGGATGGTGCGCTGGGCCCAGCACACTATTTACTAAAGCACTTAGAAAAATAAATATGTCCAAACACAATATCCTGCTTTAAGTGGATGTGGGGGGGGTTTGAGACAACACATGGCTCTGGGGTTTCAGTAAAACTTAACACTTTTCCTCCTGTCCTGATCACTTGTGCAACCAAAGTTCTATGAGAAAAAAACAAAAACAAAAGGGATTCATTGGTTTTCCAGCATGCTGCTACTGCAGCAGGTGCTGTGGAGTCAGCTGGTGCTGGGGGTTGATGGGGGAATTAGATGACTTTGTAGGTTAGATAGTCACGGAGCGGTGTGGGAATGGCCAAGGCCTCCACCTGCTGGGTGGTAATCACCCTGCGAACAGCCATCCTACACATGTGTTGCAGACTGGCAACGCTACGAGGACACTCCCAGAAGTGCAGACTACCATCACGAGTTCTGGAACAAAAAACACAAAACAATGATGACGAATCAAACAGAAGGAGGCGGTATCACTCTGAGCATTTACAAAGCTCTGTACTGGTACATTGTAAGGGTGTTCCTTGGAAAATGTCAAACCAAAACTGACGCTAAGAATGTAAGCAGCCTGCCCGGGGAGACAGGATAAAACATGGAGAACAGGTTTCCTTGGCTGCTCTTACATAAGGCAGGAGTCGATAATGGTGTGACTGAGGTAATATTATATCATCATGATCAGTGTATTCAGGATGGTGTGTGTCTAAACATGTGCTAGTGTCTTACCCAGCAGCAAGGACACTTCCTTCAGCAGAGAAGGCACAGCAGAGGCCATTAGAGACAGAGGCAATGGCCTGAGGAGCCCTTTCCTCTATGCTCCAGAAACGAACCAGCCTGAGCAGAAACAGAAACAGAAACAGACACTGCTGTCAGAATGCAAAGGGCATGCAAGAAACTGGACTACCTCTGCATTTGTAAGATTTATCGAATTAAATGTGTAAATGGACCTGTACTTGTATATCTTGCTCAAGGATACTTCGACATGTAGCACCAGGAGCCGGGGATCGAACCCACAACCTTTCAAGTAAAGAACGACCCGCTCTGCCTCTGAGCCACAGCCGCCCAGCTGGTGATGACTAACTTCATGTCAGGGTTTGACCAGCAGCACAGCTGGCATACATATAAACGACCACTTGCCTCGATTTTCACCATCTTTGGGTTTTCCCATTGCTACCCTGAGTAATGACGGAGAGGTGAACATACAGTGAGACTGATTGAACATCACTACCTGAGCTGAATTGCAGAACTCTGTTAGATCACAGCGTGAGAGAGACCGATTATCAGCCTGGCTGATTATTGGATCCTATAGTCAGCATTTTTCAGACCAGCGGTATAATTTTTTTTAAATCCATTGTCCAAAAAATTAATACATTTTAAAATACGCTACTAGTAATTCACTCGGCCTGTAGTCACCACTCTGTCTTGTTAAACGTCCTGCCCAGAGCACTGTGATTGGTTACGTATCACAAGTAATAGCTTAGCAACGCTGAAAGCAGTCCCTCCAGAAAAACACGATTACATAATTCAATGCATAATCAGCCACACAAAGTCCACATATTTATGAGGGGCCGCATTTTTTCAAATACGCCGCACTTTTGCCGCATAAATTGCCGATTTCCGCACAAAATATTCAGGGCTTGCATGATTTCATAATCCATGCATTTTCGTTGCAAAAAAGTCACATATATCTTAGCAGAGAGTTGAAAAATGTTGTGTTTACTTCACACAAGAGCAGCCATTTTCCCCTGTTGCCATGGGAACGTTATGAAGTGACGTAATTACGCGACGTGAACATCATTGAAAAGCTGCAAACCCCGCGATGAAAACCTTACAGTTGTAAGTATATTAGTAGTATGTAGATTTACGTTACAGTAAGAGATTGCACTTTGTGTATCACATTTTTTAAGGAAACGTGCCGAATAATCAAGGATTTTTGCCCGCAACAATCACAAAAAACTCTGCATTTTTCTGGAAGGACTGTGAAAGCTGTTTTGCTACAGACAGGGAAATGAAAGTACTAAAGTAAAAGTATAAGTGCCTCAAAAAAGTACTTGAGTAAATATACTTATCGGTCATCAGTTTCCTTGATTACTAATAACATCTTTATCGGCTCTGAAAAGTCAACCCCTAAGAGAAGCTTACACCTCCTCCATTCTAGTGCTTAATACTGGAGCCCCACAGGGCTGTGTGCTCAGTCCCCTCCTGTTCACACTGTACACCAATAACTGCAACCCCGACATGGAAACAACTAGTAGCCTGTTCACCCTGCTGCCATTGGGCAAGAGATAGATTGCCATACCACCAGACTACAGAGCGGTTTCTTTCCTAAGGCTGGGAGACTCCTTAAGTCATTCTTAGCACTCCAACTTTTAAAAACAGTTACTTATTATTTATTCAGTCATGTACAGTATAGAATTTTTACAACTTTGTAAAAAAGTTATACACCCTTTTTTGTGAAATGATGAAAAAAACTACCTCAAACCAATGTCACATTATTACATTAGTACCACCAAGTGCTTGCTCATGGTGGTACTGTTGGATCTCTGTAAATAATGTTTTAAAGAGTTCGGTCTAGACCTGCTCTATTTGAAAAATGTCCTGAGATAACTTCTGTTATGAATTGGCGCTATACAAATAAAATTGAATTGAATTGAATTTAAATATGGAAATTAAAATGATGGGTAACAATATATTATGAAGGAGTTTTTACGACAATGAGAAAGTTTAACGAGACCACCATCGCTGATTTTAGCATACATGAGGCAAAGACACACTTTAATAAATACATTACACTGCTGGTCAAAAACAGTATTTTCCCTAATATACTTGGAGCCTTCAGTGAGAGTTTTATTGGTTTGCATTTTTCCCCTCACCACAGCCACCATTTTGCCACGGTTCCTCTTGCTTCTCTTCTCAACACATTTTCTCAACAGTCTATTGCTTGGCCAGACAGCCATCAGTGATTTATAGCTACCTTGTGACAGTCATGTGACCTATCCAAACAGACCAACATACGTTCGCTAAGTTCCATTAAGACTCATGACTCCCTTCAAGATTTAAAAACAAGCTGTAGCAAACAGTGAAGCTTTTCTCCTGCCCCACGCTGTTTACACATCAGCCCATTTCCACTAATAGGCATCAGAAAAAAGGCTTTAGTGAACAAACATCCACACAAGAGGCACACATGTGGGTCACTGCTCGTTCAGGAGTTGAACATATGAGTGTTGCAAACAATGCACTTGTTTATCTGCTGCTAAAACATGTTCATGCTGAGACAGCCCACTTCCTAGAACAGACACAATATCCCACTATATCTGGGTTTAAATGATACAGTAATTGTTTTTCAGGGTTTATACTGTAGGTCAGCACTTTCGTTTTAAAAGATTCCCCAGTCAAAGAAAACAGAGTAGGATGCTGAGATAGATGTTAATTCAGAGACATAAGGAGTTAAAGACTATTACTTTAACTCTGATATCATTCAGTGTCTTACCTGTCGTCAGTAATGCTGGCAATGTGGCGGCCGTCAGGGCAGAAGCTCACAGAGCGAACCCAGCGGTCATTTGCCCCTCCAGCAAAAATAGGTGATGGAGGAGGAAAGAGATGGCTGGAGAAAGATGAGAAAAAGGAGTTCAACGGTATCAGTATCACAGGAAAGTTTCTCAGCTTAAAAATTAAGATTCACTGTTTTTAAACTGAATGTGTATATAACGTTTGACAGGAGAAACAGCACCTTTATTCTCTTGATACAGTTAAACTTATGAACAATAAAACACACCTTTCCACACAGTACACCCAGGGGCTTTACAATTTGCCAATCCAAAGTTGTGCCTTCTTTAGTTAGAGTTGTTAGGGCAGACAGTCTTGAGAAAAAGAAACCCAGCTCCACTGAGCCAGGTGCCAGTGTATAGTTTCTGGGCGTTAGGTAATATAGCATTAAGAAACCAACAGCAGGAACTACAATATGTGATGGAAGGATACATTTACTGGTGTTAACTTTTATGAACAAGGCAAAACAATGTAAATTGAGACTCATTCTGGTCTTAACAAAAAACGGACAAGCCACACAGTCTTTGCAGAGATGAGAGAAGGATGACAAGACTATTATTTAGCACTTCATCAGTGAAGTACTCCTATGTACATTGTGTGTATATCTAAATAACCAACACCAAGTTACTTTGGGGCAACATGTAGCCTTCCAGAAATAATACAAACAAAGCGACATTAGACCCAATCTCTTCTGGCAAACAGTACTTTAGGTTATATTAAGCAACCAATCTACCTGTCATTTTACAAATCTCTTTCTTCTTTAACAGAAATAAGGAGCAAACAAACCTGTCTGACTATGATCTGAAATTAGGAAAACTTGATGTAGCTATGTGTTACCTAGCTAGTTAGCTGGTAGTTTGCTAACATTAGCTCACTTAAGATGTGACAGTGTAATGTGTCTGTGAAGACACACTACATTGTAATGGTTATTGTGTGTTGATTTTACATGTGCCCCAGCAACTCTTAAAATCTTTTAACCACCTTCAAAATCTGGTTGTCTTCAACACAGATGAGCTTTTACCATGGCTTTCAATCGCATGAAAGTTCTGGAAAAGGACAGTAAATGGACCTTGAGTTGAGTTCTTTTGATAACTGGCAAATGAAAACAGTTGGGATACCCCACCCTGACCTGTGTGGTTATGATTAATAATGCACTCCATGGCAGCATAACACTGGCTTCCATATTATGTGTATTTCATACCCCAGTTCCAGCAGGATAGTGGCCTTGTGGTGGTCCCACACAATGACCCGGGTGTCATACGAGGCAGTTGCCAGCAGCGCCCCATCTGGTGAAAACTCACAAGACACCACATCATTGTGGTGCCCCTCCAGCTTCTGGATCAATGTCAACTTATCCATGTTCCATAGGAACACCTGCAATGTGAAGAGAGGACTGTTATAGCCTATGGAGTGATTTGGTGTAGTAGATGTGCCATCTTAAAAAACTTATCATTACTATATGCACATAAAGCATTTAGAACTTAAATTAAGCAACATGAATTAAAACAGAATTAAACAGTTATGCTCAAGTTATGTCATTGTAAAGCTTTGTAAACTTTAACCAGGCCATACAAAGAAAAGAGGACATGCTACACAATGAGCAAGGCTATGTCAAAATGCAACACTTGACCTACATTGACAATTACATTCTAAACATGTTTATATAATAGTATTAAACTACAACATCCTAATGAAAAATGTATACATCTTTTAATATGTTATTAAATATATATTTAATATAAAAAGTCTACACAAAGAAAGAGAAAATAAAACAAGTAGTAACTTAAGGTAACATAATGTTACTCCACTGGTTTCCCCTTTCAGAGTTTTAGTTCACTGTTTACAATAGGCTCGCACCTCCGGCAGAAGCCTACGAAGAGAGACAGATACTGCAAGAGAAAAGAATATTTTATGGCCAAAGGGTTGATACCTTTGGCAAAGTACACATATGCACACGCACGCACACGCACACACACGCACACGCACACACACACACACACACACACAGAAAAGTGATCATCTGTGGAAGCCTTTTTGCTTTTAACAGTCAAATGGTTTGAATTTTTAGTGTTAATATTTATGCATCACCTGAGAACTATACATAACTTCTGCACCTTATCACTGCTTATAAGTGCTGCAAACACTGCTTGTGAACAACTGCAGTTAATGATACATATGAAAATCACAACAGTCACCTGGCTAATGGTTCAGTTTCTTCTTCTTTGTACTAGCTAGTTCACTAATTTTCTAGTTTCCCCAATGCTAGTTAAAAACTGTTGTTTTTCCTGTTGGATTTCTAAGCTGTGTTTTTCAGTATGATGGAAGTATGATAGTGGAGAAATGCAGATGAAATACAGTGTAATTAACTGTTGCTCCACTGTTGTTGCCAACAGGGTTAACCACAGAACTGAAGATGAATAAGTTACCAGATAAGTGGCCAATTTGTTGACTGATCAATAGTTTTAAGGCAACATTTGCAGAACACAAGTGCTCTGCAAAAGGAACAGAAATATTTTGTAATCATTTATGTCATTATCAACAATAATCTGAAACCTGCACAAAAAAAGGGGCTGGTGTAACATTTGCAAAACACTGGCAGCTGCTGGCTAACAGTACCAGTAAGGGGAAGGGGGCAGGTTGGTTGTTAAACTGTTGTGCTGCCTGAATGGTTTTCTATAACTTGCTATTGGCAGCATTCCAATGTTACACTGTATGCTACATGGGAAACATTTAAACTGACAGTAACAGAAGTCCTAGGAACAAAAGAGAAGCTGGCGTGTGCAGACAGTTGACGGAGCAATTTAAAGATAAGGGGGGAGGTGTGGAAGTGGGTTTGGGAGAAAGGTGAGGAGGTGAGGGGGGTGGGGGGGGTAGAGGGAGTATTTAATAACCAGTTTAATGATAGTTTTAAACTGAAATTAAAATAAATAAGAGGAACTGCAACAGCAGAGGTAGACAGACACGGAGCAGCACCTACGTACAGATTGACCTTGCGGGTCAGGTGCCAGGCTGCCCCTGGCCAGGCCTTTGGGCATTGTGCACTGTGCGTCCCCGGTTTACACCGGCTGCTCAAAATGTCAGCGCGGCGCTCCCTTCAAAACCAATCACACACTGAGCTCTGCCACCACCTGTGACAGGGAGAGCAAGACACACACTGTAGGGACACACACAGCCTAACAAAAGCTACCACCATGTCTACCATTACCACCATGTTCAGTTTGATCTAGAGCTACAACATTGTAGATAAGGTGAACCAAAGGTGGCCAATCTATGGAATCAATATCCAGAAACATGTCTGCCTTAAGGGCTGCTGAAATATGGGAAATAAATTCAACATGTCAAAAAAGAAGTAAATATTTCTTACATGAACTTTGATAATATGCAAGGACATGAGTGCAGAATTAACCCCTTTTAAGTCCCGCCCATTTTTGCTCTGTACTCCAATAACTTTTGAGCAAGCCTCAGCGAGAACCTCAGCTAAGTTCCTTCTTTCCTGTACTTAGAGTACTATGTGCTTGGCTCAACTATGTTGAAAAGACAGCCACATTTTGAAGATGGTTAAAAGATAAAAGCGACACACACAGTCATCTTGTTAGCTAATGTTAGGAAAATATCAACTAGCTAATTCACATCAATTGTTAGTTGCTAGATGGCTAACGTTTTGCTAACATTAGCTACCTAACTTAAGAATTACAAATATGTTTCTTTCCTACGTAAGCTACCTAATGATTGATGTAGACTAGCTAGCCTGTTAGCTAGCGTTTTGCTAACATTAGCTAACCTAAGATATGATTATATACGTCGCTTTTATCTTTTAACCATATTCAAAATGTGGTTGTGTTTTTCAACAGAAATTAGCCTAGCAAGCAAGTACAGAAAGGAGGAAGTTGGCTGGGGTTCTGACTTTAATTTGAGCACAGAGCAAAAAGGGGTGGGACTTAGGTAGGGTCTTTTGGATGTTACTGTAATTTTTCAACATTTCACACACAAAAAAGTGTAGTTTGGTCTGGCCCACTCCAACATAAATACTTATCTGAATTATATGATGAAACAAATTTACTTCAGCTATATAACTATAGTGAAAATAGTGCTCTGCATGCAAACTCAGAACACCGAAAGCCTTTTTTTTTTCCACTGCAAACAAAAAACAAACAGAATCTAGATGCAGGCAGCTCAACTTATCATGACACGGAGCACAGTTTGCTCTAAGGTTGAAAAGGGAGGGCAGGTCAGATAGGGAGTCTTTTTTTCATTTGAAGGTTGATTGAGCATAACTGGTCACAAGCATTTGCACACAGATTAGCTAGCAAACCCAAGAAAATCAGTAAAAAGGAACTTGTGTACGTACTGCTTTGCCTGCGCCAACTGAGCACAGGATGGAGGAGTCAGGGGAGAAGGCGCTGCAGTACACCCAGTTCTGATGCCCCCGCAAAACCTTCACCATGTTACCTGCAAGACACAAACAACATTATCTTCATGTTTACAGCCTAGTCCTGCACTTTTCTTCTACTCTTCAAAACAGGCCTTTCAGTTCAGAGGGCCAATATTTCCCCTGTGAACTGAAAGAAAGAAAAGAAATCACAGAAAGGAAAATTGAATCAAAAGCTCATCTACATACCATCATCTTTGAGGTCCCATACGCGGAGGGTCTTGTCTCTGGATGCCGAGACCAGCATGAGGCTGCCATCAGGAGCAAAGGTCAAGTCTCGCACTACATCAGTATGGTCCATCAGATTCAGCAACAGTTTTCCTGCAACAAGCCATCAAATCAAACGGGATTAATGAAAAACACATCCATAGTGAATTGCAACATAATTGATTAATTTGTACAAATTCCAGACATTTCCATGAGTTGGTCAGTGTGGGCTGTCTTACCCTTTAGTACAGTCTCCATTTTGCCTCATGTAGTACAACTGCACTGTGTGCCCTGAGATTGCGGTACCACTGGCTACAGTTCTGTCATTATCCTGAAAACCGCCTCCTCAAACAAAGCCAATGTGCCACATATCCTTGCTATATGTGACCTTTTAAGGGACTTCTTGTTTAGCCAGAAATGCCCTAAAGCAACTCTAAGTTAGCAATATCACCTGCTGCATTGATACCTACTAAGTTACTCACTGTCACTGATGGGCGCAAACATCGAAATGAGCATGAGGGATCTCTGATATTAGCCGTGCAACTAGTGACACTATTACCAGCCTGTGAGTTCTCTGTGCACCAGGGGAGTGTTGGTGTTGGTAGCACAGCACTTTGGACAGCTGGCAAACTCAATTTACAGTATGAAATCTCTTGTCACTGCATTCCTCTGCTAGTCGCTTCTGCCTGTTTATTTCCTCTAAACCGCACTCCTCGCTAGCTACCAAAAAAAAAAAAAAGAACTGAAATATCCATATGTGTATGGGATTCTTGGCATTTTGGATTTGGTTTAATTTGGAACCAGATTTTGGTTCCCAACTCTAGCAGTAGGTCAAGCGGATAGTGCATTTTAAGAGTGCCTTCTGCTGGACCACAATGAAATGGTCAGTTTATTCCATGTAAAAGTCTACATTTAAACTCTTGAGCCGTCAGCGCTGTCACTTGCATCAAGAGTCCTGAAGATTATTACTGCACATGTCCAAATTGCACCAAATTCAACAGTGTACTTCCTTTGGTCCCCAGATATACACCTGCCAAGCATGAATTTGATCAGATGAGCCACTAACGTAAAGCCTGGTGGGAATATTACATTTCCCCCCACATTGGAACACACATTTTAATCTCAAATAAAAAGTAAAAGCCCTAGTGTAGACACACCATGACTAAACCGAGGCTTTCTTCCAATGGTGGCTCCAATGAATTACTGTTCATACCTATTCATTGACAGTGCTTCAATGATGACAATGTGGCAAAAGTTGTGCTGTATAACCTTTAACTGTTTCTGTAATCCACACCTTTCTTTTTCACTTCAATTTGCTTTCGAATGTAAACATCTTCTTGGAAGAAGGAATATGGAGGATAAAATCACTGTAGAATGCAGCTTCTAAAAGGCTGTTTGTTGGCTTCAGAAAATAAAAAATGGGGGGATATATATACGTTAACTTTGGAAACAAGCTTCTAACTACAGCTTTGAGATTGTCCAAACAAGACTCCCAGTTTGGATTAATGACTCCGAATGACTGTGATTATCAAAATAGTTGGAGATTAATGAATCAATTGTTTTGGGTTGTTCTTTAAGAAAACATGTCCATATTCTCTGATTGTTGTGATTGTAAATATTTTCTGGTTCATCTAATTAAGGTGAAGAGGGGAACTGGTTGTAATTAAAACAATGTGTCCTCACCAGTGTAAACATCCCAGATCTTGATGCGACCATTGTTGAGGCCTGTTGCCAGGAGCAGCTGGTCCTGACCGAACTTGAAGCGGTGCCACTCTATGTTGACGCAGCGGCTCTGCTTCTCTGGCACAGAGGAACCGAAGGCCAAACCCCAGACGATGTCACCACAGTCAATGGTGTGTTCACGGGGCTCACCAGCCGCTGGGATTACCTGGCCTCCGTCGCTGTTCTGACGAGACAAATGCCGGGGGCTTGAGGCATTGGTGCCCTCTCCACCAGGGCCCACTGAACTGCAACAACAGAGAAACACGTAGAGGAGGTCAAAGAGAGACAGCCCGGTTGTTTCGACCCATGTGGTGAACGGCCACGAGCAGCTGAACCTTGCTGGCAGGGTTCAAGTGTTTTTCCCCGAAAATGGTTTACCTTGATGACATGTTGGTGGTGTGCTGGTCACAAACCACACTAAGACCCTATCGTCTGCAGCCATTTTCAGCTCACTGTGACTGATTGTGTGTACTATTCCTCCCTGCAATATGATCCATTGACCAAATAGTAGAGCATGTCTACTTAATCCAGTTAAAAGTTTCAGTTTGTTTTAGCAGTAATTTAAAAAAGGTTACATATATGACATTTGAAACACCAATGTAGCAGCAGCAAACAACTATTTGCTATATTAAAATATAGTAGAGTCGTGGTGGTACGGCTAAAGCGGTCCCTAACCCTAAATGTGTTTTCACACAGGTACTGATCAGCTGTGATGGAAAAATCAGCAAACCAACCACTGCCTGCTGTTTGGGAACAACAAGCACTTGTTCTACAGACAATTTCCAAGTGTGGCTCTGAGAGTCACAAGGCCCTATTGAGTGGAAAAATAGCCTGTTTAGCAGAAAGGGAGCTGATAATACCACGTGTCCTTGGCACTGAGAAGCACCTCTTTGTGTTTGTTCTGCTTCCTGCATTAGGCTGGAGGGATACTGAAAAACCGTAAACTTTTGGAAAGTTCTAATAGCACATTAATTTGCCAACACTGTAGATGTACATGACTTTTTCACTAAGTGGAACATTTATATAATTACTTTATTTAATTCAGTGTCACTAAGGATGCGACTACAAGCTACTTGTCTTTAACACTGCAGTTAAAACAGCGCTGTGGATACTTGTGTAAATGTAGTAGTGCATTTCAGTTTCAAATGACACTTACAAGTTCTTCAGGCATTTTGTCCAAGGAATGAGCCTGACAATGCGATGCCCCTGAGACCAAGCAAAGTAGGAACCATTCGGTGCAAAGGCTACTGTCCAAGCCTCGCGCCCAGACTTCTGGTCAAAGGGAGCAACAGGCACCAGGAGTTCACCGATGAACTTAGCCTTACCTGGAAAAACAACATCAAAACCGTTACTTCATCAAAAGGATCACTTATTAACACATTACAGCCCCTCTGTTTATCTAGACCAACCCACAGGAGTTCCAGTCATCCCAAAGTAACCTCCTTACTCATACAAGTAGGCTTGTCACAAATGCAGGCAGCTGATTGGCCTACTGTGCTACCCAAACCATTTGTACAAAAACAGTGGGTGGGGAGCATTACGAAACAAATAAGTTAAATTCTCAATTTTTAAATCAAGAAATTGTCTGCAACATACTTCATACTACATTACTTGCCCCAAGTCAACCTGTATAGGACAATCAGATTTACCTTGAAAAGTAACCTTTGGCTTACATTTTCCTTATAGATCTTATAGATCCCAGAAACACAACAGATTGAAGGACAATTTAACGATTGTCTGAAAACAACACAGAAGACATCTGAACCTTTATACAGAAGAATAGGGTGTCTGTGTTATGTTTACAGGTAGGGAATTGAATAACATGTGTAAAGTGTGAATGTAAGTATAATGTTACAGAAGAAAACTATAGACCATAATGAAAAAACAGAATTAGCTCAAATGTTGAACTGAAGACTCGTATATGCTTTTTAAAATCTGGTATTTAATTAATATTTGTATACATATATCGATATACCTTGAAACCGCAAGAATCTTAAAAAATACCGTGATACACATTATTGATGTTAGCAGCCAGCAGTAGCTCGTGTGGGCTCGCACGTAGCCTACAGTGTCAGTGTGTGAGGCAGGGCTCTGAATCACCCGCTGCTGCTGCTGCTGTGTGTGGGGGAGGGAAGGGTCCGAGCCGAGGCTGAATCAACATTCAAAGCGGCGAAAGGGACATTTATTTTAAACTATTATCATAAGCACGAAGAGTGAAATGATAACGTCCTAACTAAGCATACTAAACTGTAATAAGGCAGCTGGGGTTTATAACTAAGTTCGGTTTGTTAAACAGAACAATGCGCTCTCAGTTAACCGTGACGGCGCATACAATGTAACCCACAGACTTTACCTGGACAGTGACGCTAGCTGTAATACGAAGCCCAGAGGTTCAGTGTACGTCAACTTAAACTTAAGTTATATAGCCATTATAATGCAATAACAGGGTGGCTCGGTGTGGGTTAACGTTAAAACAGTATATCTTCCTCCTCTTCTTCTTCTTCACGTTAGCTTAAATTGATTTAGCTACTGAGCTAATAGGTAAACAATGCGCGGACAGTCCACCACGGTGCACTGAGTCAAAGAGCAGTTACAGTAGTTTAGCTGTTACAGTAGTTTAGCAGTTACAGTAGTTTAGCTGTTACAGTAGTTTAGCTGTTACAGTAGTTTAGCTGTTACATTGTTTAGTGTTCGGATATTTTTCGTGCTCCGCCGGCCATTACTCAGAGGGTAACTTTGCACTGCCTGGAAACGGTTAACTTGGCATCCCAATAATACCACGCTGCTCCTCCCAGGAACTGCCAACATAGAAATGATAAATGTAGCATTTTTACTTACCTATATCATTTTCGTTTACAGAGTCTGGGAAGCTTGCCATCTAAATTAGGGCACAGACCTAAGAGAAAAGCCAAGCACGGACTGTAAAATGAAGATATCTGGAGGAAATGAACCACTGGGGCGGAATTAGACGGCGGCTTTTCCTCTTCCGATGTCTACACTGAAGTCGGTTGAATCCCTCAGCCAAGCTTAACGTCCCGGATGGAAAATACAGTCGTCGTTCGACCTGTTTTTCTTGACTTCCTCGACAATAGACTTTGTTTTACTGTTTAAATCTACAATTATGCTGCTCGGGTTTCTCTCGGATTAAAAACAATTAAACACGTAATTACAGTATTTGTTTCTGCGGCCGAGTACTCTGTGTGGTTGTACAATGGCTTCTGACTGGGAGGGTAGGCCAACAGAGCTATTTTCATCTGAAGGAGGGTGGGAGGGTCTTCATTACACGTCAGCACAGTTGCCATGGTAATACTATTAAGACCGCCCCCTGCTGTCTGTTTTTTCAGCTCTGTTTTCTTTTTTTTTTTAAACTTTATTGAGTAAATAGCAATTCAATTAATTCAGTACATGCCCTATAAGAGTATGCCCAACACTATATTCTTTATATAAGTTGCAACTACTGTATTTTATACCTGTTTTTGATGATTGAATTTCATGTTTAATAGTTGTAACACATTTTAGCTAGATTTTAGGCTCAGTGTGTAGAATTTAGTGGCATCTAGCGGTGTAGTTACAGAGCGCAACTCTGGTTACTGTAGAGACATGGCACTTCATCTTATACACTCATGAATTGTAACAAACTGGATCTTCAAAATCAGTATCTATACAAGTATAAAATCTAAAATCTTTTAAGCCATATCATTTTGTGAATATAATATTTTTTTTACAATATTTTTTAAGTAAATATTATTATTTATATATTTTTTTCAAGTAAATTATCTCAATTTCATCTGCAGAGAAAATAATAAAATATCAATCTTATATCTTTGTTCTGTAAATCAAACCAAAAAGAAATAACATGAACACAATCTATAAACACATCCCCCTCACAACTGCTAAAAGTGCATCTGTTGTTTACTGTTGGGAAGAAAGGACAGATATCAGCTTTAGCAGGGTATACATGCAAAGAATGTTAAATTAAACTTTGATTCTGTTTGGATATATATTTAAGGTAACAGAAACTTCTTTTCCCCTTCTTATTCCTTTGACAAACAAACTACAGAATGGTGCACTGCCGCCACCAACTGGTCCAAGTGGATTTTTCTTCTGAGGCATTTAGCATGTGCATGCAGTTTGTTTGTCATTTACTTTCTTTTTTTAGGCTTTCTTTTGAAGAATTCAGATAAACAAAAGTGATACATATGTGCCAGCCAGACACAAAAGGAACAATTTATAGAAAGAGAAAGGACAATAAGTTAAATGAAGATGAATAAATCAACAACAAGGGAAGGATCCATCTCTAAAAACAACAAAATCTACACATGCACATACATGTTCATATCAACCTATAAAGAATCTTCACTGGAAAGAATCATTATTTTAAATCGGAAGACATTCCCTTATCACCACTATGTTACCACTATACAAATCAGGCTTTAGTTGACACATGGGTGCGTCAGTTTGATCAATTTGCATTAAAAGTATCAACTTGAATGTAATTCTCTCCATTGTGTATATATTGTAAAGTAAGCCAATCCTTTCATTTATGGTGGATGTCTTTCTTAATTTCCTGGTCAAAGCCTTTTTACATAGCACTAACAGCATCCTCAATGAGTATTTATTTCAATTTGCACAGAGAAGCTCTACTACATCACCAAAGTACTTGATTTTGAAACTAAAAACTGCCTTTAGTGCAAAAAAATGTGAGCAAAACTTTATGTCAGATATGTTAGACTGTTATGTTTTTGAACCAATTGGCTCCTGTAATCGCTTTCTTTGGATTACCAGTATGAGGCAATGTACCGATTTAGTGGTTAATGGTCACAACTTTTGGTTTGTTTTAAGTATTTTTTAAATGTATTTATTTTAGTTTTTTCATGTGTATATGTGGATGTACATGATACCATGATTGTAATTCATTTGTGTTGCTTGTTTGCCGAATTTAAATGTGCATAAGTATAAATTAACATTTTGTGTCTCCAGGATACTGTGGACACTTGAAAATGGAGCCACAGAGGGACAGTTCCAGAAAATGTGAGAGTGGTTTGTCACTGCACTTTCAGCAGGCAGTCTGATTGGAGTTACAGTGTTTTGTGCTGGAGAACTGAAGAATAGTGTCACATTCTTCCAGCTGAATTGCCTCCAGGAGGGGGAGCTACCAAACTTATTTAAACATTCCTACAAATAACTCTTGCTTTTGCTCATCATTTTCCATGCCAATGAGCTGCTGAGCCCCAAACATTGTGCACAGTACTCCTACGCTGGAATATTAATTTCCCCCAGATTCGCTGTAGGGGAGAATGGAGTTGGTTATCACACTTTTTACTTTCATTTGAATCCCTCAAAAACTGTACCCTCAATCGATTCCCCTTCAATGTGCAATGGAAGCCTGAAATGTCAGGTAGGAATCTGGTGACCTTACTCTCTTTAAGCTTATTCTGTTCAAAAGATTCCATCCCCATTTTGGGGTTGGTTGTCCCTATGTGATTTTAATGGGAATGAATATAAAATGGGTGCAGATCAGGACGAAGGTCACCTGACTTTGCCGTTTCCTGCATGTCCAAAACTTTCTCTAACAACATTAAAATGCTAAGACATTCATACTTAAATGTGATGTGCGTTTTTATACACCATCCCATTGCAGGGGGTCTGCGTCTAGGTCATTCATGGTAGAAAAACTCTAACACTTGTGCTTTCATCTTTAGACATTTATAAGTGATTTGAGGAAACCAAAAAGTTTTACTTGATAGAAAAAACCTTTAATGGTCATGTTAATATATTTACAAATATAATTCACAAACAAATCAGACAAAGTACAACACAATTATTTAAATGACTAAGAAATGTCTTTGCGTACAAGAAAACTTAAAACACAACAATTACTATCGACTGTTACACAACTGTGGAGAGAAACAAACATGTTGACTCTTTCTTCAGAAACGGAGTTGTTGAACCAGAAGTGGAGAGTTCCTTCAAATCTAATAATGGCTAATGTTGTTTTCCTGTTGGGATTTCAGTGACGGCATAGAGAGGAGCTCCATATATAGGATGTGGATTCTGCTCTTAGGGTATAGAATACGTTCTTACAAGATCCTGAGCAGAGCCTGAAGCTCACTGTAAACCGTTCAATGCTGCTGAATGGCACGACCTCACTTCATGTACATTCATGACCTTTGAATTTCTGTCATCAGTCCTGACAGAAACGCAATCATGTTTGCTGACCAACTTAAAGTGACCACTACACAGCAAAAAAAATCCTGCACACTGGTCCTTTAAATTATGCACTTGTCAGACTGTGGCTTGCATCATTTTACACCATTGGAAAATTCCAGCACTTTTCCATAACCTGTTCCACGCATATGGAGTCTGGAGCGTGCCAATGGAAAAATTAGAGACCTTACAGTGTCTAATTACAATCAATAAATACATTGATTTTGAAATATTAACTGAATTGGCTTTAGATTAAATGAACTAAATGTTGTTTTGGATTGAAAAATACAGTTTCAATATGTTTGCATTGCCTTTAAATGACAATCACTGTAATTTAAAGATGTGTAAGTAGTGTGCCACCTACAAATTTAAGTCTATCCCACAGAGCCACCGTATGACTAACAATTTGGTGGCACACTACTTACATGTCTTAAAATTATACATACATACATTAAAAAGAAAAATAGCGGGCAATTAACTTCAGTAAATAGAGAAACAAAAAAGTTAAATTTAAAATTATGTTTAAAATTAATTTTGCGATTCACTTTAAAATTGTATTTATTAATAATTAAACATACAAGGACCGGTTGTGAAAAAGTCTAAATTTAATACTGATGCCTCTATATGACCTACATAAACACATGAGACCATCAGAGAGAAGACTGGACATTTCTTTAGAGTTATTGTTAATGCCTGCCCCTGAGCCAGATTCCCCTTGACATCAATCAAATGAGGCAGCAGAAACACTACTACTTCTGTCCACAGGGCCTGCCAGAATCAACACAAACTAGAAGTTCCTTGTAGGGGCTTGAAATAAATTATTTGTCTAATCAGTTTAGACTACCTTTGGAATCAATTAATTAACCAATTTAACATTTAAAAACTTTGAAAGTGTATTATACTTGTGGCATATTCAAGACTCCATACATTTAGCTGTAGGGTAGTGGTTTCCCACATTTCCCACTGCCTGTGACAAGCAAAGGTGCAAGTGCAGGGACACTGTCACGCTCTTTACTCAGCATATTGTGTGGCTGTAGTGTACGTGACATCATGTGATCTACACTACGTTTAATCAGCTCCACAGACCAATAAGAACTTCCCGTCCAAATAACAAAACAAACCCTGGAACAAGAAGGACATCAGCAGTATGTGTTTGTGTACGAGCTACTGCACTGCTTAAAGCTTTGAGTGGATTTTCCAGTTAGTTCTGCATCAAATCTTGACGTCTGTAAAATCAAGTACAGTGTTTTGTGTAGTTTTGGAAGACTAATCATTCTGTTCTGTTCCCTGACAGAACATATCAACAAGTTTCCTAAAAGAAAACACAAACATGAACCCACTTACAGATCACAGCAAAAGCCAGACAGACACGTCTTAAACAACTCTGGAAGCCAGCTCATTGAGAAACAGTTCAACATACAACAACACAAATATCAAAGACCCTGAAATGGGGTTTTCCAGAGTATTATGGAACAAGGATATGAGAGTACGTGGTGACATTGTGGATCTGGAATCAAAAGTGATTCAGGAGGCGGGTGAAAGGTCACAGACTAAAAACAAAAAGGCAGCCATCCGTTCATGCTTCCTGTGACTCATGTTGACTGGCTCCTGTCTCAGTCTGTTGAACATACTACTTGTCTGCCATTTACGATCATTCAGTTAATTTCACATGGCTATTTTGTACTGTACATCATTTTGATGTTTTTAAATATTCATGTTTTAAAAGTAAATCGTATATAGATTAACTTTCCTTTAAAGTTGCAGTAGTAGTTATTTTCATTAAAAATTCTGGATGTCTGATAATAATCGGCCGTCCGATATTATCGGCCGATATTCACTAAAAAATGTAATATCGGGAATTATCGGTATCGGGTCTTTATAACCGATGTTTGTTCTGTAGGCTTCAGCATTTCCGAGTCTGCATGAACGCGGCATGGGACGTTTACCGGCGCGCGCTAGATGACGTATAACAACAACAACTACACGCTAGACTGTTTGGTTGCTAACCGTGGCTAACAAGCAAACAATTTAGAATTTACATTAGCACTCCTTCAGGTGCATAATACAATTAAACACATTAACCAAAGCTAGTGCTTAGCTAGCGATTAGCGTTAGCGCTCTTTTCAGTATTAATACAATGAAAGTTGAAGTTGTTCTCTTATTTTGCACAGACAGTGTTTACATTTGGAAAGCCATGTGGCATTTATGTTTGCATCCAGTGGGGCATCACAATAAAATTAAGCATAATGTGTTAATTCCACGTTATGTTGTTACCTAACAGTTTTGGTGTAAAAAGCCTGCATATATCGGTATCGGAAATTGAGAGTTGGACAATATCGGAATATCGGATATCGGCAGAAAAGCCAATATCGAGCATCCCTATTAAAAATGTATTTTGTCATATTTTCTGAAACGAATTATATCCTGAGAGTAGTACATGAGATAGATAATCGATAAATAGATAAAAAAAGGTTTCTCTGGCTGCTCCTAGTGCTCCTAATGGCATTTGCAAGAATCCACTGAGCCTGGACAAAAACAACCAATCAGAGCCAAGAACTATATAGCTGATTGTTGAGTCTCATTCACAGGTCAGCAAATACAGACGCTTTGAGTCCCAAAGATTCAAGCCACCAAACAAAAAACAAAAGTTTTAGCAGATGTGACAAAAAAAAAGTGTTTTTAAAGTAACCTCCTGCAGCTTTAACATGATAGTCAACTTGCACATTTTCCTTTAAAGTGAAATGTTCAAACAAGTTGATGCAAACTGGACTTTAAAGATCCCCTCCAGACATGTAATAAGACAACATACAAATAGTTTACTTGGAACAATAATGTGTCTGATATGTTTGTTTTGCTTGGTTGTTCTTTTTTTTTTTTTGCAAAAATGTGTAATTTCCACATTCAAATCCTTAAAAAAACCATCTCGTCCTTCTACCTCATTAAAGCTTCCAGAATCTCTGAATATACAAATGTTGTTGATTTCTAAAGTTTTGCTGCTGGACACAAGATGTCTCCTACTTCACTGTAAAGTCCATTCTCAGTGGATGTGCACTGGTGGCTTCAAGTTTCTACATCACACTGTACAAGTTGTATACTGGACCAGGACTGACTTCCTAACTATTTATGATGTCACAAATCATGCTGGTAGGCCACGCCCCTTAAAAATCTGAGTTTCAGTGAGAAACTTTCCACTTTCAGCAGATTAATAATTGAGAACAGCATACAGAAAGATTAACTGAATATTTTCTAAAGGGATTAAAAAAAAAAAAATTCAATTCACAAAGGGAGAAAGACAGTTGATTTCATAGATTGAAAGTTAATCCATTTAATTTGTTGAAAATCTCTACCTTAAAAAGGCAGTTTTCTTATATCCACAGCACGCATTTTTTTTGTGTACCTCCTCAAACACCTTCTGTTCACACAGGCTACATCAGACTTTGACTACATCTTTACTCCATGCTAGTTTCACATCTACACATACAAATGGAAAGAGCAGTAGAAAGGGATGGATGAAAACCTCACAGGCATTTCTTGTGTTTTCAACGTCAGACTTCACTTCCAATGGCATCCTATAACAGTATAATCATCCAATCATGTTTCAGATGCTTTATCCTCTAAAACAGACGTTTAGATCACAAAATGTATTCTCCTACATCTGAACATGATGCCATTGTTTGCTGTATTAACACTGGCATTTAGAAATGTGTTCCCCTTCACTCAGGGAGATGAGATCAACAAAGACATCATTTACTCAAAGACTACAGGAACAGTGAGATATGGCAATGTAGTCGCTGCGATATTTCTTATTCCCATAATGTCTTGCAAAAATATAGATTAGGTTTAAAGTTGCAGTAGGTAATTTTTTATAAAAATATTTATTTTCTCACATTTGCTAAAACCTTCATTATATCCTGACAACAGTATATGAGACAGATAATCTGAAAAAATAAAAAATAAAAAATAAAAAATCAGGTTCCTCTGGCTCCTCCTAGTGCTCTTAATGGTATTTGCAAGAATCCACTGGGACTGACCAAAAACAACCACTCAGAGCAGAGAAAGATATAAAGACACAAAGACTCAACAATCAACGGTCCTCAAACCTCCAACCCTAAGTGTCTTTATAGGATATAGTAAAAGTAAGCAAAGCAAATATGGCGAAAGGTATTTTTCTAAAAGTTACCTACTGCAGCTTTAATGTGGGAATTCTGGAAACCTGGCAGAATGTTAGCAAAGTTTCTAGTGAAGCAGTGAATGAAGCTCTATGGGCACGCTTAATTCAAGCATGTCTAGAGCGGTGGATTCACACTCCTAGTTTGGTTCAAAGGCGAGGTGAGAACAATGCTATTCTAGAAAAATTACAGTAATGACTATGGCTGTAAGAAAATATAGAAAAATATATTGCAATATTTTATTTTGTGACATTGTATTAATTCTTAAAAAAACTCAAGAATTTTGTGTTTAAACCCCCAACAGCTGGATAGCAGTGTTGTAAATGTAAACTGAGGGCTATGATGTTGAATGTTATATAAATACAAATGCAGACTTTTCCATTTTATGGATATTGTGGTGTCTTCTTTATACTATGATAGTGTTCCTAAAGTTAGATTTTCAGTATTGCAATATATTGAATCGTAACCCCTGTATCGTGATACATATAGAAACCTCCTGAACGATGAACACTGAAGGAATCCTAACCGGGAGAAGCTGACTGCAATGACAACAACTACCATGATTCCACGCTACTTCACGATGTCATCAAACTTCGTCTTTTGTTATGGTTTCCCCCCCCAGCAGCAGAAATTACATATTGTATGTTTAAAGTTCCTCGTAGCCTTAGTTATCATTGGTTTTTCATACTTTTTATCCCTTATCTTTATTTACTGGACTTTGATTTATTTTAAATATTTTATTGTTTTTTCTGTTGCAGGTTTTAAGTCTTGTGGTTATTTGTTGTTATATTCAATTGTTTTATTGCTGTGTTTTTATATTTTTGTCTTTGTATTCATTTTTGTCTATAATTGTTTTAACCATGTGTTTTAATCTTAATCTTGCGCTGTGAAGCACTTTGTATGAAAGGTGCTATATAAAGTTGACTTGAGTTCAATGTCCTTAATGTACTTTTACCTGTGCAACTCTGCCGTTAGTGGTGCTACATCTGATTGAATGACACGTTTTCATCTCGCCATACAAACCAAACTACTAAACTGTGATCGACTGATCATTATGGCCGCGGAGGAGTGTTGACGTTTGCTTTAATGGCCACAATACTCGACACGTAAGAATTTCAGTTACATAACCTCTGATGTTCAAAAACAGCTAAATATTACAATCTGATTAAGAAAACATGGTAAAAAAGCTCTACATGGTTTAGTGTATATAAAGGGGCATGTGCACACTTTGGATTTGAAATGCCCAGCCTGAGGGACCCCGATCAGACACACAGTCTGCTACTGTACAGGACTGGAAAAGTAACAAAGGTTCATATACTGTGCTAGTGTTCCTCTCCGTGGATTAAAGGAAGCAGTTAACAAATACTGGTAAGGACTAATGCATTTTCCTTTACATTTAAAATTATATATCAACAAAGTGTTATAATACAGAGAATGCATTTACAAACAGTTAGCCCAGTGCTAGGAAGAGTCCAGTTCCTCTCCCTGGGAAGGAAGGGAGGGGGTGGGGGAGTCTCAGCTCATTGCTGAGCCTTACATTGGCTGGTTTGGATTAGGGTGAGGGTGAGCAGGTGGGGACAGGAAGAGCTCCAAGGCCACCACCCATGGGTCATGCTGTCGTCGCCATGGTAACCCTGATATGGTGCAACATTGGAGGATCTGAAATGCAGAAGAGAGTGTGGATGAGTGTGGTTTTCATCCCAAAAGAAAATGATGAATGGAGATATTGTATAAGCCATACTTCGTGGCATTTCAAAGTGAAAGAGCTGGCTGACAGGGCTACAGACAGCACAGGGATCGATTGTTTGAAACTCTGGAAAAGAAGGTTTATTTTTAGCTTTGTTGAGAGGGAAAAAACAGAGAAGTAGAGGAAGACACACTAAAGCTGTGGAGCTCTGATCTAATCAGAACAACTCTTCTGATGAGATCAACCTGTAGGAGGACATGATTACCAACACTGTCAGGGCAGCAGTGAAAGGACACTGGTTGTAAGGTTGTCACCGTACCTGAATTTTAAACTCTGATACCACTAAGTAAGTTTACAGGGTTTTTCATGTTTATTTCATTTTTTCCTGTATTTTTTAAAAATACATAGAAATATTAATACAATAACAAAAACAGCCTGTGAATTTACAATGTAAAATAATAATAAAATCTGTAACTGTAAATCATTAAATTTAAAGGTTGCTGGAAAATCTGTTTTTTTTTTCGTTTTGTTTTTTAAAAGTGTAGTATTAAAAAAAACAATATACTTCTTTCAATACCACTGCAAAAAGTAAAACAGTCCTAAGCACACAAAATAGGCTATGTTTTTTCTGTCACTGAACACATATTGAGGACCAGTTGCAGTTTCCCAGAATGACAGGCTAAATAACATTAAATTCACGGTTCACGGTTTACCCACAAACTACTTAAATCCCCCGACACACACGCCTACTTTACACACTCCAAAAACACAAAATCGCATTTTTGGTGTAGCAGAGCCTTTCCAGTGAGCCAACAGGCACAAAAGCATCACTGACTGTGTTTGACGTAAAAGGGACAGAACCTCAAAAAAGTCCAGTGTGTAACATTAAGGAGGATCTATTGTCAGAAATGAAATATAATATTAATGTCTGTGTTGTCATTAGTGTTTAATGACCTCAATATAACAATCACTGTTTTCGTTACATACAATGAGCGATTTATATCTACAGAGGGAGCGGGTCCTCTGCTATGGAATCCACCATGTTTCTACAGTAGGCCAGAACAGGCAAGCCAAACACTGAGCGTTATGGCCACTGTAGTTTCTCCTGCACCCTTCACAGCCTGTTCTTATTCCCAGCTCGCCAAAGACAGATGTGAGCAGCGTTCCGTTACTTGCAATCACACACACGCAACATGGTCTTTATAAGAGGACTCATTTGAATCTTACCATGATGTTGGCTCATTGCGTTGTTCATTCTCTTCCTGAGTGTTTGCTCTTCTAGGCTGACCATCTTCCTCTGGACACAGACACAAAAAACAGTGTGTCTCCAATCAATAAGTCATGCTTATTTAGATTTGTTGAAGATATTCACAACAGCAGGTAGCCATGAATGTCAGTATCATAACAATAATCAGTACATTCTATAGAGCTGCATTAAAAAACAAAGAAAACAAAACATGCTTTCTCATTCATTGTAATGAGAACACAGCAGGTGCGTTCACAATACGCAGTACCCGCCACATCCCACCACACCCATCTGTGGGCATAGGTGTGGTCAGAGCTTTAAAAGTCTAAACCTAATGAGCAGGATTTTCCTTAAAAAACAATGTATAACATGACCCACTAGTAGTGTATGTCGGTGTGTGTGTGTGCAGCCCCCTGCCTGTATTTTCTCTTTATTTTGCTGTATTCAGGATGTTTCTGGGAGTTAACCGTTGGGCGGCACCAAGGTCTGAGGTCAGACCTCATAAAAATGTAGCAAGCAGGTTACATCGCTGTCTTTGTGTCCCTCCTCTGCTCCGTCATGGATGTGTAAAGAGCTGCAGGTCTACAGTATGTGTCTTTCTGACCTAGGATAAAAATCACACAAAATGTGGCTACTTCTCACAGGGTTGTATGGACCTGTGAGTGGGTTTATTTGTGCTTTAGAACGTAACGGAAAAACCGGAAACTAAAGTTTTATTTCTCTGATTGACTGCTTTGTTATTGCTAATGCTAACTCTCCTTATTCACTCTGTACCTCGCTCAACCACTGCTGCTCTCCCTTTCTCTCACTCTGAGCAGCTGAGGAGGGGCCAACTTTTGAATCATGTGTTTATTTAATTGACAGTACATATAATGTGAAGAACTTCAAGGTCTGGGAAGTGAAGCCAACTTGGAAGTGTCTTAAACCTGCAGTCTATATAAAGGCCAGCAATAAAAAACAATATTATACAGACTTATGGAGAAAGGAGACGACTTCTTATTGGATTTATTAGCTCAGCAAATAGTTACTTTAATGAGTTTATGGTCTCAATCTCTAGTTTCTTCTTCTTCCATACAGCATGATGTTCATTTAGTACATTACGGTCCCATTTAGAGTAAAATTGACTTTCAAACTGCCAAACTAAGTAGTGCTGATCAAATATGAATCCAGATTCTGTTACTGCATTGTCTATTGTATTCTGACCATTAAAGCCCCCTCCAGTCAGAAATCAGTGTTTCCTCTTGCTCCTACAGTGTGATGTTTGAGTTTCACTGTGCAGAATGTATGTGCAGAGTTTCCTATCCAGTATGCAACTTGTACAGTGTGATGTAGAAACTTGAATCCACCACTGAGAATGGACTTTACAGTGAAGTAGGAGACATCTTGTGTCCAGCAGGAAAAATGAACAATATTTGGATATTCAGATATTCTGGAAGTTTCATGAGGTAGGAGGTGATTTAATGTGGAAAATTTCCTCCAATAAAAACACATCAGACACACATTATTGTTATAAACCAATAAATTGCATAAACACCCAAAAAGAATAAATCCATTAGAAAAATCAAATAAATGAAGGAACTTCTTACATAACATAAATATCCATGTATATATCACAAATAAATCAATGCCAGCTGTTGTTTTTGATGATATTGTTTTTGGTGCAGTTTCAGTCCTCAATATTAGCCTGCTCTAGGTGTGGTTGGACCCGATGTGTGAGGGGACACTTGGACCCTGAAGCTAGACCAGTTAGGAACCACTTCTCTGTGACATCGGGATAAAACCAAAAATATTTCACACTGTGTGGGTGACATGCACATCTTACCACAGGGGTTTCCCTCTACATCGTCGAGAAGATTCGCTGTTGAGTTGGCTGCGCCCAGTCTGGAAAGGAGCTTAGTTAAGAACACCTAAACTCCTCATGGAAGTGGACAAAGACATCAGTTACTGAGGCTGATCCATGGGATGATGATGTATGCGAGCAGCAGGAATCTCAACAATAATGGTGGTGATGGAGTATAGAAGGACTTTATGTAGATAATGGAAGACTTTGAGGGTGTAAAAGCATATTCAGAAGAAATTATTAAAGAAAGAACACAACATGCATGTTACAGGAATGTGTACAGTTGAATGGTACTACTGAATCACTCAGTGTTAATGACGCTAAAGGCTGAATTAAAGCATTCCCACCTTAAAAATGACATTTGATCATGGTAAGTAAATAATATTTGGCTACTTACACCAAAAAAGGGAATGTTAGCTAGATAATGTGACAAAGGGTAAGCAAAGGATACGAATGATGCTTCAGGAGCATCCTCCTTTTTGACTTCCTCCTCCTTGTCTTCTCTGAGAATGTTCTGGCAATTTCAAACAGTTTCTTTCTCGTTGCTGAAGGTGAGAAAACATCTTGGGTTATTGACTACAGTGGACAATGCTCTTAAAAAAATAGCGCAGTTATTTGTAAATTAGCAGCAGTATTCTCAGTCTGGCGACTTACATTTGCCCATGTGTTTGAGTTTGTCTCTGAATAGGGCATCATCTGAGACGGCCTCCAGTGAAGCTGCAGAGTACTGCTCTCCTGCACACAGACACAGCAACTTTATTTACCCGCATCAAACACATCAAATTGTGTGTGTGTGTGTGTGTGTGTGTGTGTGTGTGTATATATATTATGATGTCCGTAGCACTAATCTTTGCCACAACCAACAGATATCACAGTGAATGTATAGACAAACACAGACCAGTATTCAGTAGAATTCAGTGTGAAAAGACAGTTGCAGATAGCTTGGCAGAGGAAGCTTGATGAGTGATATCTACCTGTGGAATTCTCCATGCTAGATGAATGATTGGACTTTGATTTCTTTGATTCATACTTCAAGCGATCTAAAAACAGAGAGCAGATGTTATGACCCTGATGTGAGGAACCAAGATGTGATGAGTTCTGGTATAATGGTGCAATGCTCAAACTTCTAAACCTCCACGCCCATTCATCTCGACCAATGCCTGATGAGAGGAGAAAACAGTTCAAAGCTTTGCATTGTTGCACCAGAACAGCCAAGGCAAGCATTTTTCTTTTCACCAATCTTGTCTGAGCAGAGCCTGGATATTTGAATATTTTACTGTATCCAAAATGATTTGCCTCTTTGTATGTCAAATCAGTTACTGGACAATCGTTTGATCAATATGTTGTTCCACTAGTCAAAGACTTGACACAAAGGTGGTTATTACTTTTGTCTCAGAATGGACTCTTTAATCAGAGTCATATTGTTAGAATGATTACTGATTGATGGGATTTCTGAGATCAAGTGAATAACGCAATTAAAGAACTCAGAGACATCCATCCTTTATTAAAACACCTAAAAGAACTTTAGTGTGGACCTCTAAATATACCTACTAAAACAATGGAAGCAATTGCCTTGATCATAAGCTGAGGGATGTAAAACTATGACAAATGGAGACACATGGAATTAATTTTGTTCAAGTAAAGAAAATCAAAGAAAAGAACGAATAGGGCTGTGCAATAATTGAAATATTATGGAAATTGCAATATGGTGCAATATCCACATTGCAGAGGGTGCAATTTTTTAATAAAAGCTCAACGTGGGACTACAAAGTTTGTTTGGTACAGTCCCCAACAAATATCACATTGTCATGATTTTAATAGCTTTACAGTAAAAATGAAAATAGTGATGCAAAAATGGTCGTAACTAATTGAGAATTATATGGTAATATCTGTAAAACTAATCACAATGTGATTTTTTACCATATTGTGGAGCCCAGTGATGATGTATGATAACAAAACAAACAGCTCCAACACTCTCTAGTCTTGGTAGCTTTGGGTTGCTGGTACTGCTGTATGGTTTGCAATCATATGTTTAAGTTTCATTATTTAGACAAAAGTAATTCCAAAGAGACAAGCATTGGACTTGAGCATCAAGGCAAATTGTGGTAATAACTGCACAAAAAACAAAAGCTTTTTAAAAAGAAAAAAAAAGGTGCCCTGTGGAGTTTTCAAGAACTCACCAAAAAACTGTGTGTGTATCCTTGAACTCCAACAAATCCATAATATTTCCTTCCTCTCAAACATTTAGAATTTTTTTAAATGTTGTATTTTAAATCTAGCATTGTTGTCATTATTATGACATGTAACAGCGGTTTCTCGGTTGAAAAAGTGTTTAACCCAATGAACACTGCAGGGATACTAATAATTAGCCAATCATCGCGACTAATGCCGTTTGTGAAGCTCTGCCAAGCTGTGCACCGGAAGCAAGGAGGAGTAATCACTAGGTACAGGCTGATTATTGGCCTGGCCAAATTATCGGATCTGATATTCAGCATTTTTCTGATTATTGGCATAATTACAATTATACTTTATATGATTGCATTAAATTAATTGCAATTAATCTCTCTGTCTGTTGTCAGAACTTTGTGGTGTCGCTAAATAACCCATCAACACTGAAGGCTGCTGTGCCACAGATGGGGAAATGGAAACACTCAAGTGAAGTACATGTACCTCAAGATTGTAGAGTACTTGAGTAAATGTACTTACACTCCACTGCTTTATTCTATATATATTTTCCTTGAATAGTATTAATTGGTATCTATACCTGCCCTGAAAGAACCCCATCGGTTTACTAGGAATCCCTAGTAATAACTACAATGGTGGCCGCTACAGATAAGATAGATGCTGCTATCGAGACTTTATTTTACATAGACAGCATGTTTTCTTAATATCAACCACTTGTTTTTACTACGCTGAAATCATAATCCCCCTCCCCCACAGACATTGAGGGGAGGCAATGTCAGACTGAAGATAGAAATTGAGTGACTGATAAACAGTTCTGTCCATAGTACTAGAGGTCAAACTCTCAAACTCAAATTTTAATGTTTTTACTTTCTCTGCATTATTTCCCGTGACTAATATCCCATTTACAGTACTATACCACCAATAACAGTACAGTGAGGAGCAGGATTCTTCTGTGTGTAATGAGTCAAATGTACATAGTCGTACCTCTCTCTAAGGCGATGAGGAACTCGCGGTTGCGCTGCAGCTCTCTCATGAACTCCTCGTTCTGCAGGAACAGGGCGATGCGCTCGTCTTCCAGATACTGCTTCAGTTTCTTGTCTTGCTCCGTAGCTCCTGTTGTCAAACCTGGATCTCCAGTGGTCCCTGCAGCTTCAGGCCGAGAGCCAGACTGGGCTGTCCACTGGCTTATTGAAGAGGAGGAGGATGACGATGAAGGTTGGGATACACTGCTCTGAGAGGTCTGCTGAGGAAAGGCAGGAGAGGTTCTCTGTTCTAGCGTTAATCCATGTAGTTTGATTATGGTTCACCTGAAGAGGTCACAACGGCTGCTTGTACTACTACTCTACTGGTACACTACAATTACTACTTCTACTACCAGCTCCACATCTTATGTTATAGCAGTACAGGTAAGAGGGAAAATATGTATTTTTTGATTTTGGGGTGAACTGTCCTTTTAATTAGTAGAAGAAGAAGAAAATTAGAAACCAGATGCCCCCATTTACCATCTTTATGCTGAACCTGTTTTACCTTTATACTGTCTAACTGCTGTGGCAGGATCCGCAGAAAATCGTCTGGGAGATTTCCAAGCAAAGGAGGGTTCCAGTTCCGGTAGCTTCTGACCTGCTGGTGACCTGGAGGAGGCTCTGCTTCAAATCTATGATGGAGTAACAGGACACATTAGTAATTCTACCAACTGCATTAGGTACATTATCAATCTCTCAATATCATCTCTAGCTGTCTATTAACTATTTTATTATATATATATATATATATATATATATAATAATTATTTACATCATTTAAATCGCTCGCTCACAAAATCACATGGGATGGCCAGAGAGAGGAAACATCTATTGGTTTCCTGTATTTCATTAAAAGAATCTTACGAGTGAGGAAATGCCTGATAAGTGCAAGAGTTACAGGAACAATTTGTAACTCTGTCATACAAATAAAATGATTGAAGATGATTATCTAACTCTTAGATTATTGAGTATCTGTTTTGGTAATATTATCAATGTGTGTGTTTATATAATGCACCACTCTGTGATATATACACGCTACCTATTTTAGCCTCACAAGTGGTGTCAAATGGTGTGTTCATGGTTCAGGAGGTTTCTACCGGGAGCCCAATGATCCACAGAGGTCTCCTCCTCTCCAAAACAAACAGACCCACTGATTAAAACCACTAAAAACACTGAATAAAGCAGTTCCACCTTAAAAATCACTGTTTCTCCCACGCTGTTGGACAGACAAAGGACGTCCCGGAGGGGCTGTGAGCCGAGCTGCTGCTAACGTTAGCTCAGCTTGTTTCTCTGATAACTTAAGATCCAGACGTCTGATGACTAAAATCCTTCATCTGGTTCAAATCTAGAGTTAAAAAGCACCAAGATCTAAACAGTGGATGGTAACAATGTGGCTTCAGACTGGATCAACAGTCAATGTATGACAGCTTCTGGCAGACAACCTCAACGCTGACGCAGGCACAAAGGGGATATGACGCCATAGACAGGCGACAGGTGAAACGCAGCGTTACCTGAATAAAATGACAGATTTCTCTGAGTTTGAACATTGTTGGAAACATTTGGGATAATGGAAATACACAACTCAACTACATACAGGACATAGCTGTGAGGAAATGTTACAGATTACAGCTTTAAAAAGGCACCTGAAGGAAGGCCGGAAAACAAACCATGTATTCATTTAGTATGTAAAATATATTTTAAGATTTTGTTAAATAAAACCCCAAATAGAAAATGTTTTTAAAGTGGCTCTTAATCTGATAATTGCTTAATCAAAGCCTCAGCTGCATATCCAGTCCAGTCCCCCTTCCTTACCTTGGTGGGGGTGTTGGTGGGGCTTCAGGGTATTTCCTGTCATAAATGTGCATATCATATGCTGGTGGAGAGTAGACTGGAGGTGGTTCCTCATCTGAACTGTCAGGTTCAAGTGTTCGCTCCAGAATCTAGAAAGAAACAGACTGGGCAACTCAAGCTTTGTTTCATTAAATGTTTAACACCTGCCTTACCCTCACACATTTGCAATTGGGAAGAATTCCACTTTGATTGCCATTACAGTCAGTTATCTGAGGTTTAATTTAAAATCAAATCACATGTTAACAAGCTGAAATTAGATCTCCCTGTGATCTTTTATTCATTTTGGTACAAAGCCTGAATGCAACAGTTCTGCAGCACTGCATTCAGGGGTGGCATCCTTCATGTCATTGAATTTAGATGTCAACAACAATTCATTGACATCATGTTATTATGTGTGACTAAAATGGAAACTGACCATGAGCAGCTTTTCTTTCTTATAAAATCCAGGCACATTTGTGCTGTAAAGACAAGCTGTGTCCAAGAGGTAGAGAAGGTCGTTCACTAGTCACATTCCTGATACAGTGTCATCTGCATGTAAATGTGTGTTTGTAAAGGTGAATGTGGCATATAGTGTAAAAGCGCTTTGAGTGGTTGGAAGACTAGAAAGGCGCTAGGGGTGGGTACAAGGACTTCACGATACGATACGCATCGCGATACGATTATATCACGATACATTGCGATACGATGTATACTGCGATATTCCACATAGTTAACTGAGAATGTAAAAACAGAACTATATTACATTGATAATTCAGCAGACAAATTGAGTCAAAACAATGTAATTCAAAATGTCCTTTTTCAATTTATTTATATTTGGCAAATTACCAAACACCCAGATCTAGCTGCCATTACATCAAAATGAAAATGATGTGCACTCTTGCCATTGAACTGGACGCACTGATATGAAAACAAGAAAATAAAGTGCACAGTGAACTCACTGAGGATGGTGTGGGGCTAGTAGAGGACTGAGCTGAAATGTAGAGAGCAGGACCATTCAGCGTTTAATGCTTGGAAGTACCGACATTACTTTGAGATTCACTCGGTAAAAGGTGACAAAAACATCAGCGTCTGCTGTACACTCTGCGTTGGAAGAAAACTTTTATCTACAGCGAAAAATTCCACCTCAAATCTGAGCAAGTACCTAGCAAGCCGGCACAGGAATGTGAAACTCACTGAAAAAAACCCGGATCCCCCCCACTGACATGACCACTGCGGCTACCACATCCAATTCCACCGGGCGAACCTCCGAGGGCCCTCTCTCCTGCTTAACAGGTGAAAATAGACTTAAGAGCGACAGGACTTCGTGCAGCTGAACTGAAGAAGCTCGTCGCTGGCTATATTGTCGAGGACATGTTGCCACTGTAGACTCTGAATCTTTCCGACGCATCGTAGGAAAAAAAAATAAAAAATAAATAAATAATAATAATAAATAATTAAGGATTATACAAAAAATATTTTTGTTTTATACGCTGGAATATGCAGAAATATAAGTTAACAGAAGAAGGACTTGCTTTATTTCATTAAAATATGGTGGAATGTGCAGAAAATAGGTTTAAATGTTCAACAATTTTCTTCAAGTCAGAGACGGTTGCATTTAATTAAATTTTTGCTTGATGCAATGTGCATTAAGTTAAAGGACTGGAACTAATAAAACAAGTTTTAAAAAAGAGACTGTTTCATTTGATTGAATTTTACATGATGGAAAATGCAGAAAGAATAGAATAAGGCTGAAAGGTCTATTGCTTTAGTGTATTCAGGTTGTGCGTCATGTTTTTGAAAATAAGTAATCAGTAAAGTAACTGGATTACTTTCTTGGAGAAGTAATCAGTAACTAATTAGAGCCTGTCCGTTCACTGCACTGTCAGCCGTACGACTTATGATGGGGAATACAGAAAGGCCAGTAAGCAGTACATTATAGTTTAATGCTCAGGATGGGATCAAATTCAATCTACAAACTCAATATCAATCAGTGCTTGGGTCAGCGGCATCGGGAGGCATCACGCATGTAACAATACCAGGAGTACAGAATGAAATTCTAAAAATAACACCAGCCTGTAGCTTCTCGTGTACATGTGATTGGACACCAATCAAAATGACACATTTTTCAGTTTGTGGTTTCCATTTGCTGTATTGTAAAGAGATGAGAATAAATACTCGAAACTCTCAAAAAAAAAAAAAAAAAAAAATCTCAAAAATTCCTGGGACCTGTGAAACAAAAATGGCTTTTAGAGGATTATTTATTTGGATGTATCAGAGTGTGATGTCCAACTACTTACTATTGCCACAATGATGATTTTGATATTGAGATCACTATTATTTCACGATTACAGACCACTGCACGCAGCTCACTGTGGCTGCTCCTTAATGTCCCATTACTGCCTGACATATTTCAAACTGATCTGCCAAAAATTTCAGAAAACAAACGTTTTGTTTTGTAGATGCATTTTTGTTGAATGATAGCAACCAGTGTCAAGCTAACAGATAAAGACTTTGCACTTCCTTTGACTAGCTTACATCATAGTAGAAGTCAATTAGTGTTTCTTTTTCAGTGAAGCTGTAGCAGTAGGAAATGTTCAGTGTCCGTTAGCAGTAACTTAATACAGTATTTGTTCCGTGAATAAAAAGGTATCCAGGCTGCAGCTGCACGGTGTGCGTGCAGTGACATAACAGTAACCCAAAAGTGAAACCATAACATCTGCATCACCTGTGGTGGCTAGCTGTTAGTTTAGGGAGCGCTTGGTGTGACAACATAGTAAACATGCATGTTAACACAATGGGGAATATCGTGGTCAGCAAAAATGATCGAGGTCATGTCATACAGGTTAGGGTTAGGTTTAGGGTAAGTCAATATTTTGACAGGCAATACCTCCATGTTGTATATCGCACAATAAGTCTATAGCATAATTACTGTGACAGGCCCAGTCAATACTGACACCTCATCAGGCTGCGTTAGATTCCCCGGTGGTGCCCACAGACCCTTTCCACTGACCTCTGGTGGGATGCTGTCATCTGAGTCTGAGCTGTCATCCGAGCCCTGTCCGTCAATGCTCATCTGGAGCAGCTGGTCGATGGTAGCGTCCACAGCTCCGTTGTTGGAGCGCAGCACACACTCGATCACCTCATAGTCCATAGAGGGGAACATGGTCTTGAAGTCCTCCATGGCCTGGTTGAACTCCAGGCGTCTGACCTGCCGGTTGGGCCTGCTGTTGTTGAGCTGCCCACTCCCGCCGCTGCCACTTCCACTGCTTCTGGAGCCTCCATTGCTGCTGCTGCGCCTAAACAGACTAGTCATCCTCAGGGCCTGGCTGCCTCAGGTGCGGCCAACCTATTGATAGGATGGCTCTTCTTTTCTGCCACTGACACAAGCACTTCGGCCCCTTCAGTGTTACTTGTTTTCCACTTTTTCCCCCACTCAGTTTCTCATTCTAACACAAACATAATAGTCTACTGATGGGAGATTAGAAAAACTAGAGTTTCCCTTCCCAATGCTACTTGTTATACAGCTGCATCCAGCATGGTGGACTGTATTACAGGGTGCGCAGACACTGGAGCAGCTGGTGACAGATGTTAAACGTCCAAAGTCCTGTCACCAGGTAGAGCTTATAGACAAAAGCCAGGGAACATGCATAGCTACATCACAGTCATCAGCACCTACAGAGAGAGAAGACAGGCTGTGTGTTAGTAAGAGATAGTAACACTAACATTTCATAGTTCTCCAATTAAATTACATCATTGCTTCTAAAACTAAACTGGGACCCACAGCTCTGCTAAATTTCATCCTACAGTGGCTCTATCAGTGTGGAGGGACTTTAGATGCAGTACTACTACTGGCTACTAGATCAGGGATCCAAAGAAATCTCCAGCAGCACAGATATCCATTTAAAAAGTCATGTCAAGAAGTGAAAAACATGTACATTAGAGAATGTTGTTGGACAAATGAAGATGTCCAAACACTAACTCATAGTTAGGTATAGGTCAGGAAGGTAGGGTTAGGGGCTCAGTATGCAAACACTTGTCGGCTTGTCACACAGCATCTGAAATCCCTTCACACCTTTCGAATGTGGGAATTCAGGGGGGCTGTGCAGGGGCGTATCAAGACTATCATACACACATGCCCACACACAGTTTAAAATGCTCTTACCACAATAAAATGGCTACTATGAGGACAAGCTTCCCATTCATACCCAGTTTATGAAATTCCAATAAGTTTACGAACTTTGAAGCTCAGGTTTCAGGAAGCCCTGAGAGTGGGTCATAAATATGGTATTCAAGAAATATAGAGCTCTGGAGATAGTTGTAGCTTTCTCTTAATCTATTTGAGATTCCTGCCTCTCTCTTCCTCACCTCCCCTTCCTTCTTGCTTCACTGGGGGTTCATTGTAGCTGGCGGCTGCCCAGTGCCACATGGCAGTACCAGGCCCCATCTACAGCTGATAAACAGAGCCCCTCTCTTAGCCTCCCGTTTACTAAGAGTCTTGCTTTGATGTAAACAAGATGCCCGCCCTAATAGCCTTGTCTTCGTGCCACACTGAAGCTGTGTGAATGTCAATGAGTTGGACAAATAGTCACAATACATAGTTTTGTGCAAAGACAGCTCAGACAGACTGTAAGGGTGCACTTACATTTAGGTCATCTATAAAATGACTAAAATGAAGGAATTAGACCCAAATCTAAAATGCACTGGTCAAGGGCCCCTGACCAGAGATCTTGTTACAGCTCATTAATGATTTTTCAACCGCAAAACTCTATCTCCTCCTGTCCACCAGATGTTGCTGCGTCATGTTCTGGCTGCCAAGTCGTGGCTCTTCTCTCTGTACCACTAGCATTAAGCTATTCTTTTGTAAAAGATTAAAAACATTTCATATTAAATAATGCATTCAGTATTACTCAAACAGGATAGTTAACATACAGAAAACCCAACTAGTTGTTACTTTAGCAGAACAGTTTATTGCTTCATGTGGTCAGTGCAACAGACTAGAGATGGTTGTCAAAAGTATTTTATTGAGTATTGATTCATATCATGGCAGCTCCTATCATTGTTGTAGTTTTAGTGTGTTTTCAGTGTTTTCAGTGTGTTTTTTGCTATTTTTAATTGTTTTCTTATTTTCTTACTACTTTGTTCATGTCGCCTAAATACTTTTTTGGCGTTTTTGAGCACTTTTTATTATTTGTTTGCACGGGTCTCCATGGCGACGGCGAGTCGCATTGTTTACACCCGCGACCAGATGATCACCCTGAGGTACCCTAGCATCCTGACTGGAGAGAGACCCTCCATACCAGAGGAGCTGAGGAGGAGACGGCGAGGCTGCAGAGCGGGGGTTAAACGGAGGATGAAGAAGAGGAGCTTTAAACCCTACAAACGTGGCTACACGAGCAGATACCGGACTCCAACGTCACCATTCCCGGCTTCCAGACGGTTCGAGCCGACAGGGACACCACCGCGACCGGCATGAAGAAAGGAGGGGGACTGTCTGTGCTCATAAACAACAGGTGGTGTAACGCCGGGCACGTCTGTGTGAAAGAGAGTCTGCAGCCCGGACATCGAGCTCGTCGCCGTCGGACTTCGTCCGTGTTGTCTGCCACGGGAACTTTCCAGTGTTATCGCCATCACTGTCTATATTCCTCACAGTGGTCTTCATCATCACCATCACTGTTTACATTCATGATGTCTTATTTATTCTCCTGTACAGCACTTTGGTCAACTTTGGTTGTTTTTAAAGTGCTTAACAAATAAAGTTGGATTGGATATTGTATTTAAGTTTAGAATTCTGGTGTTGTGACAACAGTGAGCTTACTACATTTAATATTATTAAGTGTGGTTCTCAATTATTGACAGTGATCATATGAAATTGATAAAATGACAGATGTTGCCAGCAGATATAGCTGGGTCATATGCTTCAAAATCATTAGCACTGATGGTGCTCAAACACAGTCAAAGTGGATGGACACTGTTCCTTTTTCTGTGAAGATGAAACCATATTATCATCACTGTTTTGTTACCACTGTTTACATCACCCCAGAAGTAAATTCAAAAGATGCACTGCAGAATTATTTCCTGGTGTATATATGTATATAAATTGGTTTTATTTTATTTATTAGGGCCCGAGCAGTGACCCCTGCAAAAAAGCCTCTTGGACCTATACCCCACACCCGAAAGGAAGGCAATTTGCACATGTAGCATTTTAACAAACTCCTCCAAGGGAATTGATTGTATCAACTTCACATTTGTTCAGTTCCATCTAAATACCATATCCATTAAAAGTTATCAAAATCCGAAATTTTTGTCAAACAGCGTGTCTGCGGCACCACTGTTATTCAATAAATTGAATCTTTTATAATGATTGTAGCATAAAGGAAGCACATAGTTTAATTTTGTTATACAACCTTGTGTTATGATAAATACATTTCTTTGATATTTTAAGATATTGAAGTATTAACCTGTGTTTAACCGTTCTGCATTAAATGAGACTGAGCGCTTCCAATATCTAAAAGAGAAACTTAAAAAAAAATTAAATAAATGTATTGACAAACAGCTCAAGATGGACAGGAAGTTAGAGAGAGGGGACAACACGCATCAAAAGGGCCACAGGTGGGAGTGGAACCCATGGCCGCTGCCGTAAGGACTCAGGGGCACTTGGCCCAGGTACAGCCTTGGTACATGGGGCACTAGCTCTACCAAATGAGCTATTGGGCGTCCTTAAATTTGTAAAATAAATCAATCTTTCTTTCTTCATCTTTTGTAAAATAAATAATAAATAAATAAAATAAATTAGAAAAAACAGGATGAGTAACACTGAAATACTAAAAATCATTCATACAACAGTGAGCAGTGATAGCCCGCCTAATGCTCATTCACATGTTGTTCTAATATGTTCAACTTCTAACTATTTCAGATTCCTTTTTAAAAAACATTTCTTTGGAAGAAAACAGCCAGTATTCGACTGAGAACACTATCAGAGGCTCTTCATCCTGTTTCTGCCACAGAATGAGAGCATGCAAGTCTTAGTGTGCATGTGATACCATGCCATGGCCATGCACTCGCAAAGATATCTTCCCAACATCATATTAATCTGCACCTAAGAACCATGCTATATTTAGCACACAATCCAGGACTCTCTGTCCCCAGAGAGTGTGTGTGAGTCTGTACAAGTGTATGGGAGATAGCTGCTTACCAGCTGAAGCAAAGAAAATCTGAGTGGTCTTACTTTTGACTGGTTACACTGCGTTAGCCCAGTGAACACATGCACTAATGTCAGCTCTGGACTAGTTACAAGATGCTGCTGTAGTGTCACTCACATCAAATCGGATTCATGGATGTACACTAAGCCTCAGATGTCACTTGTCACGCTGTGCAAGGAGGAGATCAAACCGACTTGCTTTGACAATTTTTGGAGAACTCATTTAGCAGCACAGTACACACACACACACAGCTGAAGAACAAGTGAGAGGATAATCAGCTGTATAACCAGTGGATTTTCACAATCTAACTCTGTGAATTAAGAGTTTATTCCAACCAATTGATTTTTATGTAACTCACCTGTTTAAATTATATTAAGGCTATAGTTATGAATAATTAAGGTGGTGGCTGCTTTGAGTGACAGGTGGGTGCTGTCAGAGGCGGCTGTTTTCAGTAACCAGCCAGCCTGCTCCAGCTCATTGCCCCCTCGTTCAGAAGGTGTACGGTTGCACTATTCTGTTAAATGGGTATTAGAGTCTTTCCTTCTTGACATTTGTGAGTTTGTATTGTTTATTAAAACTAAGAGAGCTTGTGGCAAGAAGGAAACTCACTGCTCATCTCCCATCTATACCTACGCCCAAAGATCACGCTCTATTATGTATTAAACGATTTAATGGGCTAAAATAATACTGCTGTTGTGTTTAGCTGGCAGCCATCTTAAGATGTGAATCTTTTACCTATATCTTTTAAACATCTTCAAAATGCGACTGTCTTTTCAACATAGATTAGCCTAGCACGTAGCATGTAAATACAGGAAAGGAGAAAGTTGGCCGAGGTTCTGACCCTTTCACAAGTTTCTTATTCTCAAATGAGTCAGTTGGAAACATTTTCAGCCAAATAACGCTAATAAGCTTGTTAGCTGGAGGTGGGAAAACCAGTGAGAAAGGTCAAGTCAGTCACTAAAACTGACAGTTGCAAACTAAAACATGGTTTTACCGTTTCAAAAATGATCAAGAATTTGAAGCAGTTAATCTGCAACTTCATCACTGTAACAGCATACACAAAGACAGTGCTACACTGGAAAGCTTCACAGGAGTAGCAACAGGAACTAAGGGGGGGGGATTATACACTGTGGATTAGAGCAGTGTGGATGTCAAATGGCAGGGTATCATTTTAAGATCTATTATAGTGCTCCTCATGTGTCCTATGACTAGTTCTTAGAGCACTTCATTACAATGGGTGTGAGAAATGCTGGACAGTATTCATTCAAGTACGTAGTGGAGTTTTCTAAGGCACTGGGATGACTGATGTAACCCAGACAGGTACAGCAAGAGGCAGGTTGCAGATATCAAGAAACAATGAAGTTCCTTGGGAGAAAACTGGGAACACAACCCAGGCCAGAATGTGTGCATGCTTTCGAGTACTCTCATGCCTGACAGATTCTTCAGACTGCAGAGGCCACGAGGATACAACCAACAAACTGGGAAAAGAAACCAAGGATTCTAGAGGTAAACATACTAAAAAGACATCACTGTTCTGTGTTCATGTTTCAACTCGTATCAGTTAAAGATGCAATAAAAAATCTGATGTGTTAATTTGACTAACAAGTTGAAAAGGTCATTTTTTGTGTATTGTGCATTTAAACTGCTAATCATCAGGGTAAGTGGAATGGTTTGTCTCTCACTCTTTTTCACACCATCAATTACAAAATGGACTTGCGAGGCAGCTGGACTGAGAAAGTCCTGTGAGAATCCACCTTGCCAGGTTTCAATCTATGCATTTGTGGCAGACCAATCAGCTTTCTTTGAGATATACTGGCAGCTACTGGGGTGGGCACTAGGTGTGACGCAGCGAGAAGGTGCTGTTTATTAAACAGCAATGGTGGCTGCTAAAGAGGTTAGCATATATGCTCCTGGCATCAGTTCTATTAGAACTGGAGAGTATTTCTTCATTGAAAGAAGAGCAAAGAACGGCACTGAAGGCCTTTGTAGCCTTTGTTACAAGTTCAGTGTAACAAACCATCTGGCACGGTCAGGTTAATAAACAACGGAAACAACCTGGTGACGTAGCAGCACATGAAGAAACAGAACACTTAAACTGCTCTTTGAGGCTTTGTTTTGCTGGATTTATGACACATTATATGTCACACACACATACAGATGGCAACAGCTGGTTTTAGTAGAGAGCAGTCAGCCCTCAGATCCCACAGCTGCACATGATGTAAATTAAAAAAGGGATCATATCCTGCTGCAGGACAGCCAGATGTTCAGCGCTCATAGAATAAAGACTTGAAATGAAGACTTTATAAACAATAATTGAATTACATTAGTACTGACACAATTATGTTTTACATTTTTAGTGCTTGTTGTCATTTTGGTAACATTGTAATGTATAATGATTTATAGTATAATATATTCTTTTAAGTCCTTTAAAGGGATAGTTGTTGTTTTGTTTTTTTAAAAAGAAGAGTTGTATGAGGAACTTCTCCAGAGACAACCATGGCCACAGTGGAAGCTGTGGATAGGGCTAGCAGAAAAATGCATTTTAGCCACATTAGAAAGGCCAGCCCCATATAACAAAAATCAAGTGTTTGTGATCATATAAGAATATTTTCACTACTTTACGTCACTGTCAGACAAACTTTTTGGCACATAATTGGTACCAGCCACAAGTCAAATACCGGTAAAATATGCAAGTGGCTGGGAGATTAGCTTCACTCACCAGCCATTTGATGTTTTTATACTATCCAACTAATCAAAAGTGGGTCAACGAAGACTCTTCTCAGCAGTTTAGTATTATTTATTCTGGGACAACCCAAATAGACGACTAAACAAAGTTAATCTGGCACCCTGCACTGACAGTAGAACTTCCGTATCCCTACACATAAGCCCAACTGTGCCACATGGGGGATGAATTACATGAATTATCCTAGTGTGACAGTAATATAATAAATTATATTAACTTTTAATTACGTTAAGGCCTAAAGATATTAGAATTTTACACCCTTGCCAAAAAAGAGCAAAAACTATTGTTGCAGCAGGTAAATTTGGATTAACTTTTACTGTTTAACAGCCATGACTTTGGGAATCCCTGTTCAGGCTGGGAAGACAACATCCTTAAGAACACAGTTTCCACAGAACCCAATTACACTGATAAATAATCCTTATGTCAGCCAAGTAGTAGTACGATATTAAGTAAGCAATTGCAGTCCAGAAATAGCAGATAGAAAATAAGTTTGAGGTAATTTGAGTTACAGTTACATAGTTTGTGTCTGAAAGCATGTATAAGTTCATGTCTGCTCTCTACAAATCCCTATTTGTTATTGTTTTCTAGGCCTACTGTATGTATATATATATATTTTTGAAACTTTTCTTACACCCCTTACAATCAACCCACCGTGAAGCTTTAGCGACATCTCACTCTGTAGATACATACTGCTGTTACACCAAACTCTGTCACCTGTTTAAGCATCTATACTGCAACCAGACACGTTTTTTTAATAGTCATCCATGGTCGGATCTAGATGGGTAGGATGGGGTGCCACCCTGAAAAAAAATGCACATCCACTGAGAATGGACTTCACAGTGAAGTAGGAGACATCTGCTGTCCAGCAGCAAAACGTTAGAAATCAACAACATTTGTATATTCAGAGAATCTGGAATTTTTAGAGAGGTAGAAGGAGATTACCTTTTAATGTGGACATTTTGTGGAAAAGAAATACACAATAACACACACACACACACACACCATCTGTATATATGTCTTACCAGTCTGGAGGGGCTATTTAACACATCCATTTAAACATAACATTACCATACAGTACACAGCTGCGTTCCTCTATGCATGTGCTCCTGTCGGGTCTCTGATAGGTCGCTGCTAACTGGCTAACGGTACTCTTCAGCTACTAGCCAACTCACAACTCACAAATGTTGATCAAAATATCGTTAATATAGTCAACTGAACAACATTTTCTAACGATACCACATGGTTGGCTTCATGCTACAGTGGCTAATGTTAGCAGTGACCTTTAGTTAAACAAGCTTTAGCGGTTATACGCTAGCTGTTGCAGCTAACTAATCACAACCAGGCACCGGAGGTTTTCCGGTCAGGGAATCGTCCTCTCGTTACAAGGCCTCGGTCAGTGACTCTCAGTCGTAGCATCCAACCCAAATTAGCTCCGTCTAAATATGTCATCGAATTCAAGACGCGAATGTTAACATTTCAACGCGTTTTCACTCTGACAAGTACATACTGCTGGAGACTGGATATCCCTCCGCCGTGTTGGTGTTTACAAAGAGGAGTGCTAAACTAGGCTAAATATTGAAACACCTAAGCTAGCAGTTAAAGCTGTGTATTGTCGAAAAAACCACAGAGCCATGCTAGCTGTACTCACTGAGAGGGGCAAACGGAGTCCAGTGGAACGGGTAATATCCTCCGTGGGCTCAAGTGTCGAGAGGAAGTAAAGCGGAGCAGCGGGACGGTGGATGTTGGCATTGTAATGGGAACCACAGAGATACCGTCCCTCCACTCAGCACAGGGCTGTGCATTGAAATACAGCCGAGACCGGATGTGTCAGGCTAACCTCAACACAGTCAGAGCGTCAAAATAAAATGCATGTTATGTGTAAACAGTGGATCATTCAGAATATTTAAGTAAAGATGACAAAAATAATTAGCACCCATCAAAGATGTAACGTTAGGCACATATTATATTTTGAAAATAATTATAAATACATTTAATATTTGGAATTTCCCCATTGTGGGACAAATAAAGGCATATCTATCTAATAGCCACAACTCAAAGCTTCAAAATAAAATTCATTGTATTGTGTACACACAGTTAATCCTTTCAAATAATAATAGTAATAATTAGACATATATATAATATGTAGACGAATTACATCACTTATTAGGATATGATCTAGCTACAACACTCAATTACCAAAAAAAACAGTTTTTGTTTCATTGCAAGCAGTGCAGTAATAAGTGTTTAATATATGCTATATGATACCAGTGTGCAATGTATGTAGGAAAAACAAAACTCCTAACCTGCGTGTTAAATGGAAAGCAGAGCAACATTTAGGTCCAACCACCAACTGACAGAAAGCTGCATAATAATATTGAGTGTGGGTTTATTTAACCATACTGAATAGTGGGGGATTGCTTGATTAAAGACATACATTTTCAATACTTAATTGTTAGACAATATTCTTTGATAATGATTTCTTTTGCACTGTTTCAGTGAAATTTCCCTTTTCTTCCTACCTCCTCACCTGATCCATGATACATATCCCTATATTTGATACTACTACTGGCTACTAATGTTGTGCAGCTAACCCTTTCCATTCCAATCCTAATCAACATTATTCAAAATTCTAGTGTAAATCTTGAAATTAATAAAACATGCCAAACATGGATCTTTTGAGAAAATTGGTATAACATGATGCAAAATATATTTGATAAAATGGTATAGCCAAAGAATTATATATATAATCCTAAGGTTGAGTGTAAGCATCATATAGCTGTTGGAACCAGAAGAGATTATATGTGTCATTAAAGGCATACTATGCAGGTTTTGTCAAACAGCTCCCCCTAGAGTCGCTGCGGAGTACTTGTATTTAACGTTAACTGTCGTAAATACCACTCACCAGAGCCGTCTCTATATACGGCTCTGCGTCTCTTCACTCACGGCCTGATCCCCTCCCCCCTGTATACAGGTACATGTTCAGTAGGATGGAAGCTCGGACATCGAACAGGCAAAGATAGACTCCAAAGATGTCTACTGACCAGGTAACGTCTGAGTGAATGTCTGCTAGTGTCTTCCATTGAGGCTGCTTCTTATGTCGCTGATGTATGTGACGTTGCACCGTAAAGCAATTTGTGATTGTCGCGAGATTTGGCGGGACGCCACCTTTCAGACTTGCATTGCTGGTTCTGCCAACGGCGTCCCTCTCCTGCTTTGCTATCAGGATGATTCGCTATACTACGAGTTCGTTTACCATCAAAATGACTTTGAAGCTGTTATATTAAGATAAAATTCTTGCATAGTGTGCCTTTAAGTTCCCTGTTGAATCAAGTTTATACAGAAATAGACACATTTTACAAGTTTATTTTGAAGGCCAAATGATCTTACTTCCTATTTTCTATCATGCAGCTTCAGTCTATGGAATAAACAGCAGCAAATGAAAGAACAGCAGACAGGAGACGGCACATGCTTCAAATAAATGGCACCTTGGAAAAAGTGACATGGATTTAAGAGTATAACTGCTGCCATTGTAAAGTAAGACGTCTCCCATGATGCATTTCAGTACGACCACTCTGAGTGAGGCATGTCACATGGGTATTTAAGGTATTTATAGGTTTTAAATCTATCATTTAAAAATGATATTACACATATTGTATATATTTTGTATGTATATATGTAACTGTATATATTCCTTGTAAATTCCTCTTCCTCTGACAAGGTCAGGGTCAGAGCATCTCCAAAACTGCAGCTCTTGTGGGGTGTTCCCTGCAGCGGTCAGTACCTATCAAAAGTGCTCCAAGGCTGGCCTGTGTGGTCCGATCCAACAGACGAGCTACTGTTGCTCAAATTGCTGAAAAAGTTAGTTATGTTGGTTCTGATAGAAAGCTGTCAGAACACACAGTGCATCACAGTTTGTTGTGTATGGCGCTGCGTAGCCGCAGAGCTGTCAGGGTGCTCATGCTGACCCCTGTTCACTGCCGAAAGCGCCTACAATGGGCACGTCAGCATCAGAACTGGAACAGAACAATGGAAGAAGGTGGCCTGGTCTGATGAATCACATTTTCTTTTACATCTTAAATCTTGTGGATGGCCAGGTGTGTGTGCGTCGCTTAGCTGGGGAACACATGGCACCAGGATGCACTATGGGAAGAAGGCCAGCCAGTGGAGGCAGTGTGATGCTCTGGGAGCCTGGTGGAGCCTCCTGCCATGGTCCTGCTTGACTGCCATTGCCAATACTGTTGTTGCTGTGCACCTGTCTGTCTGTCTGTCTGTCTGTCTCTCGCTCGCTCTCTCTCTCTCTCTCTCTCTCTCTCACCCCAACTGGTCGAGACAGACGACCACCCACCTAGAGCCGGAGGATCTGTCCTAGGTTTCTGCCTTTTAACAGGCAGTGTTTCCTTGCCCTTGTCGCCAAGTGCTTGCTCATGGTGGTACTGTTGGGTCTCTGTAATTAATGTTTTAAAGAGTTCGGTCTAGACCTGCTCTATTTGAAAAGTGTCCTGAGATAACTTCTGTTATGAATTGGCGCTATACAAATAAAATTGAATTGAATTGAATTGAATTTCATGACAACAGTATTCCCTGATGGCAGTGGCCTCTTTCAGCAGGATAATGCGCCGTGCCACAAAGCAAAAATGGTTCAGGAATGGTTTGAGAAACACAACGAGTTCAAGGTGTTGACTCGGACTCCAAATTCACCTGATCTCAATCCAATCGAGCATCTGTGGGATGTGCTGGACAAACAACTCTGATCCATGGAGGCCCCACCTCACAACTTACAGGAGTTGAGAGATCTGCTGCTAACGTGTTGGTGCCAGATACCACAGCACACCCTCAGAGGTCTAGTGGAGTCCATGCCTCAACAGGTCATGGCTGTTTTGGTGGCTAAAGGGGGACCTGAACGATATTAGTCAGGTGGTCATGTTATGGCTGATCGGTGGAGTTTGTCCTGTTATGATAGCTAGTTTCACACCTTCTTCCATACATTATGATGTTCATTTAGTAAATGATGGTCCAATTTAGAGTAAAATAGACGATAAAGTTGCGTATGCTTTTGGGCAGGGCTACCTTTTGATTGACAGGTCATTTTCAGTAAGTCCGTCCAGCTCAACGCACCAAACTCAGATCAAACTGTCAAACTAGGCAGTGCTGATCAGATACAAAGCTAGAGTGTGTTACTGCGTTGCCTATTTCTTGCTTTAAATCGTTTCATAAACATATTTAGTATATATTTTAGCTGTAATACGAGATCGTTTCCAGCTATGGTCGAGTCAAAACTGCGCAGCCAATGAGCGCAGAGCAACCCGCAGTATGTCACGTCCGCTGGCCAAAACGCAGAACTCGAGGCTTCAAAACGGTTCTCCACGAACCAACGGGTGACGTCACGATAGCTTCACACGTGATACACTGTAACTTTGATATTCACTGAAGCTTTCACTACATCCTGACAGCAGTACATGAGATAATGTGTGAAACAATCAGGTTCCTCCGGCTCCTCCTAGTGCTCCTAATGGTATTTATAAGAATCCACCGATCAGAGCCGGGAAAGATAGAAAGACACTTTGGGTTTGAAGGCTTGAAGATAGTTGATTGTTGAGTCTCATTCCCAGAGTCCCAACGCGTCTGTATTTGACACCCTAAGAAGGCGACTCAACAATCAATTACCTTTCTCTGCTCTGATTGGTTGTTTTCGGTCAGGCCCGGGGGATTTGTACTACTGTCTGGATATAATTAGTTTCAGCAAATATGTTAAACTTTAAAACAGAAAGATCCATTTATTACACATTTATAAATGATGTAATGCTTATATTTACTTTTAATTTAATTTTGGTGCATTTAGTGGTCTATTTATTTTTTGATGTTGGCGGTTTCAGTCCTCCATAAGAACTACACCACTATGTTGTATAATTTCATCAAATACTGAGCACTTATTTTGCAGCAGTATTCTGCCATGCACATACAAAACATTTTTTTCCCCTATTTGATGCTCTTATCAAATGTCCATTGACCAACAAAACAATGTGACCAAGACTTCCCATAAACCAATTAATCACCAATGAAGACGTGGAGAAAGTACCATAAACACTTTCAATAACTTTTATTTTTCCCCCTAATAGATCTGTACAATCAACAAATCAAACTTAAGCTGAGCCTAGCAAAAATCGATCTGTACACGTTAAATGCTTTTGGGCACAAGAGCTTAACACCCATTTAAATAATCAAATTATGACTTGTCTAGCTATGCAAACACTTAAAAATCAGTCCCACAGCTTGAGAACATTGAGTGACTCTGAAAGAGGGGAGGCAGGATGAACCAGAACAAACCAAACAGAAAAAAAGATGTTCCCTTTATGTGTCTCTCTCCAGTGTTATAGAAAAGTACAGTCAAATATCTTATTTACAGAGAAATTAACAAAACTCTAGTTTGATCAAACTGATTTTTTTGAGGGTCTCTGGGTTGTTGGGGGGGGACAAGTATGGCATATTTAATCTGGATTAAAAAAAGAAGGGACAGACAGTTCATGTAAAACAGAGGAAGGATGCACACAAGCCAACGACAGACAATATGGCTACTGCTCCGATTCCAGCACCAACACGTGGACTTCCACAACTCATACAAGCCTTGTATGTAATTCATTGTCACAATGCCCAACATCCTAACCATCTGGATTTGATCTTTTCCAAGCTAAATCGTACCCATTTCCTCCATCAGCAACCCTAAAACATGTTGATTCACTAACCAAACACCAAATTAACCATTCCTGAGATACATTATTGAAGTTATGTATTATTGAGTTTTTAAAGTGTTATGCTGACAGCTGTTATGCAGTTAACTTTCCTACTTCATAGTTGTGTCAAACACGTAAAGCCCACCCTTTCCCCCATTATGTCCTTCAATTTGTCAAAATAAAGCTGCCTTATTGCTAGAGTAACAGTGATTTCATTCCCATTGAAGACTCAAGAATAAAAAATCTGAAACACATAGAATTCATGTTATTTAGAATTACAATTCCGTACAGGGTTCATTCAGCCCCATCAGTGCAAACACAGGGAAGGTCCGTCTTCATGACACTGGATAAACATTATGAATCAACATATGGAAAAAAAAAAAAATCTATACTACAGTGATGAGACACAATCAGATGCACACTGAACTGAAAGTAGAAGGTAAAAATGCTGTTGCAGCATGTTGTAGTACTGTGGTTCTCCCAGCTCAACACAGCCCTGTTCTTCAGATGTGGTTTAACTGATCCAAAGGGCTGTTTCATCAGCAAGATTATCAGGTAATGACAGGATTACTTAAAAACAGTTTAATAAACTAGGTTTAAATAATAAAAGTTATAATGGAAACTTAGTCCTTCAGTCTAGTCATTCTCAGGCTCACTTAGCTTTCCTTAAGTTCCTGTATCAGTTTTCTCTTTACATGTCTTTGTTCTCACATTTCAATTTATCTGGCCACATTAACTTGGAGTGGGCTTTATGACAGTTTAATCCAGGTTTGTTCACTAAAGACATGATGCTTAGGCTAAACTGGTGTTATTGTGGAATAATGGCACATTATGGGAGTGAGAACCGGTGAGAACACCATGAGGAATCTTAATCACAAGAATGTTGCCATCTGGGGCCTGTATCACAAAGTGAGATTGGGTGGTTAGCTGGCTACCTTTTGCCTTGATCTCGTATCTGGATCCCAAAGCTAGCTCACTTTTAACCAAGGTTGATTACCATGGCAACAGCAACAAATACTAGAACAGTAGAATCACTTTGTGGTTCCAGGTGTCCACTCTGTTAGAACTATTTTAAACCCAAAGGAGATACTTCACTAAATAGCTTATAATGAACGGTAATTATATGGCCATTCCTTATAGTATCAATGTCTTTACACTGCTTTTTGAAGTCTGTTGTTTCTTGTTGGAAAATAAATCCACAGTTAAAGCTACAGTAGGTAACATTTATTAAAATAATTCATAAGTCAAATTAGCTGTAATTTTCATTATATCCTGACACTAATACATGACAGATTGTTGAGCCTCATTCTGAGGGGGTCAATTATCTTTCTCTGCTCTGATTGGTTGTTTTTGTTCAGGCCCGGTGGAGTCTTGCAAATGCCATTAGGAGGACTAAGAGGAGCCAGAGGAACCTGATTATTTCACAGATTTTCTGTCTGTACTATGGTCAGGGTATAGTCAAAGTTTCAACAATAAAGCTTTTTATTAATTTGTTTTATAAAAGTTACCTACTGCAGCTTTAATTCACTCCCACTGAATAATGCAACATTTTGGTCAGAACCTCAGGAGGTGTCAAATTATGTTCAACTTGGAACAAAGTACTTTCGACACAAGACAAACCCAATTACAAAGAGACAATTCTTACACCTATTTATATCAATAACTGTACTTTCATATTGTTGAAATTGTGTGTTAATATATTATACATTTCCAACCTCCTTATGCTTCATCTTGTGTCAGATGAAGTACTCCACTCATGGTTTAGATGTTTGTAATTACCAACTCTGCCTCTTTCACATGAACACAGTCAGACTGGAAGACCTAGAATTAACAGAGCCAGTAGATGCCCAGCTGTGTGATACTACGTTTGGCTTAGTGAGGACAGGGATCCACAACGAGAGCCAGACTAAGTTGTACTTGCTTCATGATACGGCCCCTGAAACCAGAATTATATCAACATTTCTCAGATCTGGAATTGCTGCTATTACAATAGATGCAAATAAAGTAGTGTAGAAAGTTAACTCCACATATGAAGAACAAGGCCGTGCTCTGTAATGCATCACAATTTAACACACAGGGCAACAGGTGACGGACCACCGAGACTTCAGTTTATCACGAATGTCAACACAGTGAGGAGCACATACAGAGGTGCTCCTGGGCTGGTTTACCATGCACACTAATGACACTAACTCAACTCAGATCAACAGTTAACATTAGGTGAAGAGCAGCACTGCAAACTAAATCTTTTGTAGTGTTTCCTTTTCATTGTAGTGGCTCCCTCATGGCTTCAAGTCCTCACAGAGCTTCAGGATAACAGCAGCAACCCCTATTGCCTTCACACAGTCCACAGCACATGAATCACTGACAGGGTATTAAAGACTGCATCACAGCTCAGAACATCCAGATGTCTTTGGAGTTATTAAACCGGAGGACACCCATGAGACACATATAGGTAATGGTACACCAGTGAAGACCTCTAGCAGCTTTGTTTTCCTTCAGTTTTAGATGTTTAACCATTTGTTACCAAGTATTTTATTAGATTCAAAAATGCACTCTGATTCTGTTATGGTGCCGTTAAAAATATGGAGTTCCTGATCCTGTCCATTTTGTATTTATTTAAAAAAATAAATTAATCTTTCAGGACTTTGGGAACACTAAGGGCCCTTCCACACCAACCTTACTGGTTTGAGCCGAACCAACATAAACAAACAGCCGAACGTGGGTCCGGATCAGAGTGAACCATGGTTCAGTTTGTTTCTAGTGTGAACACATTTTTTTTTTTGGAAAGTTCAGACTTTTGGACCAATAACAGGAAGTTGTGGCAGGCTATCAGCAGAGTCAAAAAAGGAAAAACAATGCACCAAAACAAATGAGCCACAGAATTCAAAAAGAGTTTTGAGTATTGCGCTTGAAGGTAGTACTGCTGTTAGTAATGCACTTAGGGATGGGACGATACATGTTCCTGCATATCGCAATGCTCTCATAATACTCATTAGTATATCATGGTGACTTTGGATTATTGGGATAATTGTGCATTGGGATCTATCTAGCTCGCAAGCATACAGTCTTGATTTCCAAATTTATTTTTGAATTGTCACAATTGGGAGTCTGCATCTTTCCAAAATCGTCGGCCTGTCACCATGGCTGAGGCCTTGGCTTGAGTAACCCTCACAAAAAAGTGAAATCAGTTGTGTGGAAATAACTGGATTCCAAACTAAAGATCGACAGGGAGATGGGGGAGGCCCATCTGTGAGGCCAAACGTATGTATGTATGTATGTATGTATGTATGTATGTATGTATGTATGTTTTTACATTTGTCAAAGCAATTAGGATAATTGTGACATGAAATTTTCGTATTGTCCCATGCCTAAATGCAATAGTATTATAGTTGAAACTAAATGAACCTGTTCATTTATGTTTCTACATTTATTCAAACTGCAATAGAAGGCTAACCGCTGAATTGATAACACCCTGACATCCGACGCACTCTAGTCTACAAACCAATCATCTGCAGGTATAGCAGCTCATGTAGGTGATGATGACATGATGTATGTCATGTATATTTCTTTAGTGTGCTTGCATAATTGCAATGTGAACTAAAACTAACTGGATCAAATGTATATAATATAACAAAAACATGCACCTTGGTTCGGACTTTCAGGTGTGAAATGCCCTAAATTTGGGGTTTTGAAGGTGCTATAACAAAATCAGAGCAGATCTTTTGTGTCAGTTTTTAAAAACAGAACATATGTCAGTTGAGGATTATAAATGGTGCCTACATTATGATCTGTATCTTCCGCCGTATGTTGCCAATGCCTCTTGGAAATACTGAGTTAAAGAAATCCGTCCCAACTTGGCAGTTTGAAAAGCTGTTCCGACTGCCCTTTGTCTGGTAGGTTGAAACTCCTGGCTCCTCAGTGCAAGTTGGTGGGGGAAAAAGTAGAGCAGAGAGACAACTGCCTCGCTCCTCTGTCCTAGTTAGAGGGGCAGCAGCAGCAGCTCTGGATGGTGACCCCAGAGAAGTCCATGTCTCCTGAGGCCACGTGGTAGACCAACTGTGTGTTCCACCAGGGACCACCCTCTGACCTCCTCTGCTTTTTGTTGTGCCATCACCCTTCAGTCTCTGTAGCCTGTCTGCCCCAAAATCCTATCCAGACAAGAAATCTGCTAAATCAAAATGTACAGGCCTACAGACGACTCAAACTCAAAACCGTTTACAATTGTCTACAGACTGATGGAGGTGTCTGTCCGTCCACACAGCGTGATGATCCACAGACAGTGAGCAAAGGCCCAGATCAAAAATGATGGTGGGATGGGGGAGGAAAAAAAATATTGGTTGAACCTTTATTTAGTTACAATATAGATCTTTTTTAAAAATTGTACAAGTACCTCTTCTTTTCCTTCTTGCAGTTCTTTTTGTGTACAAGAACAAGAGGGGAAGGTTGTCTTATTCTGAAGCAGTGCTGTGTTCTTGTAGATTATGCCTGCAGATAATTTTTAAATTTATTTTCAGGGGGAGGGGAGGGGAGGAGGGGACAACAAAAAAAAAAAAGAAAAGAAAAGAAAGGAAAAACAATCTTCTTAGATCCAGTGGTATATCTGGTGGGGCTAGGACCCCAGGGTCCCAGACTGCTGATCACAAGAGAATAAAGGGGGTGGGTGGGGGGTGGAGGTCAGAGCACTGAGTTCAAAATCCATCCACCCAAACACCCAGGCCCCTCTCCACCAGCGTACGGTTCACTGATATCACCTAGAGGAGGAGAAATATTCTCATTATTCAAAATGATGGCCTGGTCAATACAAACAAAAATAAAACCCTTTTAATCAGAACAACAACAGAGTCATGTCACACAACATTCTACTGCTTTGAGTTTCTCTTTTTAAAAATCAAACAAATTTGCTTATTTTCATTTGTTTCAATTGCTGTTACCAGGCTTTCTGCAGGTTTCAACGGGTTAAAGACTTTTTAAGAGCATTATGAATGCAGTTTAAGACCTTTTTTATTTCCATACTGGCAAAAAGGATATTAAGGAAAATCTGTATAAAATCGATTCTACAATAAAGCCTAATAGGTCTATAGTCTATAGGGATGGACAACATGCTTCAAATTAATATCCACAATATCTGTAACCGGAGATTACTTGATTGAAGGTCTGGGTTTTGGTTGCAGCGGGGCGAATGTGAATCATTGAGTGAATTGCATGCAACTGTGACGTGACAAAAATAAAGAAATACTTCGTTTATACTTCAAGACCACATAAGTGTGTTTTTCAAGTGGTTTTTGCTTTTGGTTTTGAATAGACTATTTCTTCTGGAAAATACAACTTTATACAAATAACTCAAACTACATTCATCCAACACATTTTTAAGGCCTGTCATATTTAAAGCACTAGTGTGTTGGATTTAGTGGCATCTAGTGGTGTAGTGGCAGATCACATCACCCTCCCCTTCCAAGCACAAAAGTAGAAACCACAGTGGCTGTGAAAGTCCCTATTTACAGCCAGCGTTGGGTTTGTCTGTTCTGGGTTACTGTAGAAACATGGTGGTTCAACATAGCTGCCTCTGTAGAAGAGGACCCTCTCCCTCTGTAGATAAAAACAGCTCATTCTAAGGTAACAAAAACACAACAATTCTTATTTTACACTTTATATACACTAATGAAAACATACCTATGAATAATATATTCCATTTCTGACAATAACATTTTACACACTGGCCCTTTAACACATTTTAAGACCTTAAAATTTAGATTATTTGATTTTCGACTTTATTTAAGGCTTTTGGACACTGTGGATACCCTGTATTAAACCAATGTAATTGAAATAAAACACTTTGATTCAGTTGAATGTAAAATTTCCTGTTTCACATTAAAGGCCTGCCAGGAAAGGTAGAGATTGTCCTTTGAGGCATGTGAAACCTACCACCTGCTACCAACAACACCAAAATGAAAAAACATCAAACCAAACGGAATTAGTGAGTAGGATTATTTCCTTATTTCTGACTAAATGACTTGAGTATGGCATTGCTCAGTTGTTGAACGGATGAATTAGTGATGTGGACATTATTTTGACTAGAACACGAAAACAGGGAGGAAGTGACATTTGAATTCAAAACAGAAGCAGATAAGAATACAGATGTCTGACTAATATATGATGAAATAAACCCAAAGAGTAAGTTAAGAACACAGACCTGTCTGTTTCAGAAAACACTTTTAAAAAAAGCGTATAAAATAACTACCAATACAGGTATACAACATACATTAAAACTATAAATGTACGTCACATATAGAACGGAGCACTGTACCTCATCCCCGACCATGTTCCACAGGTGGACGAGCGGGAGACCTGTGTTGTTATCGTAGTTTGACACCTTTAGAAAGAGAAAGACAAACGGCCAGTTGGTTGGAGTTGACACATTGGAGTGCTTTAGTAAGGACGGTGCTTTTACCTGTGCAAGCAATGCCACTCCTCTGGTCATCTCCTCCATCGCTGACGTGGCCTCTGCTGAAAAACGGTCCTCTCCTGATGGACATTTTACACATAAGTCAGAACAACAATAGCTCCAACGTCTGCAGCTTTCAGAAAACTAGACCATTATAGCTCACATACTTGGTCAACAGACTGACCAACCAGTACTGCCACTGTCAAGCTATTATTGGACGCTTATCTATAGGTTTTAAAATGTGTCAACACAAACAATGCTGTACCTGGAAGTGGGGCGATGTTATCAAGCAATACTTCAGCACCTTGAAACGGTAGTGTTACAAAATCGGACCTGGAAAATAAAAAGGAGAAAATCTATCTCATACAGTATACACTTTACAATTTACACACATTATAGATTATATATAAGGCCTATGGTCAGGCCTTTCACTGATCCGCTACAGTTCGCCTACCAGCCCCGCCTGGGAGTTGAGGACGGCATCATCTACCTGCTGAACAGAGTCTACACTCATCTGGATAAGCTGGTGAGCACTGTGAGAGTCATGTTCTTTAAGTTCTCCAGTGCTTTTAACACCATCCTCTACTGGGTGAGAAGATGGCTGCGATGCAGGTGGAGGCCCCCATCGTGTCCTGGATTGTTGATTACCTGATGGGCAGACCACAGTACGTACGCCTACAGAACTGTGTGTCTGACAGGGTGGTCAGCAACACTGGGGCCCCACAGGGGACTGTCCTCTCTCCCTTCCTCTTCACCCTCTTCACCTCGGACTTTAACTATTGCACTGAGTCCTGTCATCTTCAGAAGTTTTCTGATGACTCAGCAATAGTTGGCTGCACTGATGATGAGAATGAATACAGGACTGTTGTGGGCAACTTTGTCACTTGGAGTGAGCTGAATCATCTGCAGCTCAATGTGACAAAGACAAAGGAGCTCATAGTGGAGCTCCACTCTGAGGAGGGCGAAAACACTGGTGACCCCTGTTCCCATCCAGGGGGTCCCTGTGGACACTGTAGAGGAGTATAAGTACCTGGGGGTGTACTTTAATAACAAGTTGGACTGGACCAGAAACACAGAGGCGGTCTACAAGAAGGGCCAAAGCCGACTCATTTTCCTGAGGAGGCTGAGGTCCTTTAACATCTGCCGGACGATGCTGAGGACGTTCTATGAGTCTGTTGTGGCTAGTGCGATCTTCTTCGCTGTCACATGCTGGGGCAGTGGGCTGAGGGTCGTAGACAACAACAATCTAAATAAACTAATCAGGAGGGCCGGCGATGTCGTGGGGGAGGAGCTGGACACCCTGACGTGACCCTGACCGTGGCAGAGAGGAGGATGCTATCCAGGCTTCAGTCCATCTTGGACAATGTCTCTCACCCTCTCTACGACACACTGGCTCAGCAGAGGAGCACCTTCAGCAGAAGACTCCTCTCACCCAGACGCACCACAGAGCGCCACAGGAAATCATTCCTGCCTGTGGTCATTAAACTTTACAACGGCTCCCTCAGAGAGTCAGACACCCCCTCTCCGTAATACATAGTCTTAAACATAGTTACTGTACTGTCACTTTACACTTGCCATTTTTGCACATTTGAAAGTGTGACTTTAAACTGTACATTTTAAACCTTTTATATTCTTAATTTTTAATATATTCTTAATATATTGTATGTCCTATTCTGTTTTTTTCAATTACATATGGAGTATAGGTAACAAAAGTAATTCCCCCCTGGGATTATTAAAGTATTTCTGATTCTGATTAAATATGTGTTGTTACATATGGTAATCCATGATGACAACGTTAAAACATTTCAGAAGCTTTTATAAATTTAAAATGATCTCATTTACAGCTGGTGGGTCGCGTTTTTCCATTCCATTCTGGGTTACTGTAGAAACATGCCAGTTCAGACTCTCTAGAAGAGGACCCGCTCCTTCTGTAGACAAATGGCTCATTCTTAAGTAACAACACACGATTCTTACTTCCATTTCTGACAACAGATCCTCCTAAATGTTACACACTGGACCTTTAATGTAAGCTGAAAGCACAGACTTTGTGTTATTCTGTCATGCAATTACCATAGTTACAGTTTGGGTAAGACTAGCCCAGTCTACGGGCCCGAACCAGACCCAAACAACATTTCTATATGTTTTTTTCAAACCCGGTCTGGGTATCCAGCCGGCACGGAAACTTTTAACCTAATGGTAATAGAAGAAGAAAGGTCACATGAATTTCCACTGCTAATGTATAATATGGGTAAACTGGGTATTATGATGGTACGCATTTGTTCAGCCTCAGAACACAAAGAAATTTGTGTGAACTACAAAAGTTACATTTCAGATCATAAATATTACATTTCAGTACTTAAGTGTTAGCAAACTGTGTCAGTATGTCACTGGAAATAAAACAGAAGTTTAGTACACTAAAATACCAGGTGTGACAAAGCTCACTGGTGATATCTTTCACTGCTTTTGGACAGTAATTATAGATGAGGAGAGGAGCAGAAGCAGAGACAAGGCATGTCTACAGCAGCTCAGACCTACAGGGCACCAGGAAAAAGCTTTGTAAATGGGTATAGCTCAGTTTCTTGAAGACTGCCAGTACAACAGTGGGTTGGATACAAAATCTTATCGCTTTAAAATCATTTTACATATGTGGAGAAATATGTCTGCCATCTTTAATGTTTTAAGTGAGTAATATTCCATTATTTGTGATTAAAAAATAAAATAAAAAATAATTCTGGAAAATGTATTTTGTGATAATACAGACAGTACAGCTGGTTACCTGCATGGGGACTGCACTTGTTTCTACACTGTAACAAGATTCAGTAGATACATTTTAATACATCTTTAGTCTAGGACTATTTCCAGTTCAAGAAACTGCCCCTAGAGGGCAGATTTTGACCCTTACCACAGCAACTGCTAGCACTGGACCTGATGTATCCTAAATGGCACTGTTCTCTCGGATGACACAGTTGTAACACAGACCTCTGACTCACCTTATTTGTCGTAGTGAGTCGATCTTCACTCTGTCGTAGCCGCCATAATCAACATATCTAATCTCCACTTCATTCGTTTCTTTATAGAAGGTGATAACCTGAGCTCTCCACCAGGCTCCTTCCACAGCTGGAGCTGCACAGATCACACCAACTGGACACGGACGGACACACACACGGACGGACACACACGGACGGACGGACACACACACAGACGGACACACACGGACACACACAGGGAGAGAGAGAGAGAGAGAAAGACTGTTAATCGAGTAAGCAGCATCATGACAGTCATTACTTTAATACGAGCATTTTCACTATAGTTATTGGATACAAGAACAGCAGTTTTAACTGATTTTGATCCATTAATCAGGGAAAATACCTGAATACCAAAATGATTTGTGTAAATAGATACATAGCTTGTACAGATCTCTTCCTGAACAGATTTTCCAATGAGCAAATGGATTTATTAGTTGAGCTTTTGAAATTGTGGTAAAATCACAAATCTGCCATCTTAAAATACAGTGGTTGGTTTGTTTGCTTTCACACCACAAACCAACTGCTAAAGAGAGACCAAGGGTGCTGCTGCTGGAGGAACAACTTGTCAAACCAAATGATTACTGCCACTGAGTTGCTAAATTGTTAAAATATTTACACTTAAGACAAACTGTCCTGTGTTGCTCCCTTTATAGTTTAGTTATTAGTGTGTGTTCCCCCTTTGTGTCTAAAATGGTCTATTGAGCAATTATATCCCTCTTTGGGTTCAGTTTGGTCTTTAAAGTTCTATTTAGTTTGTTAAGATATAGTCTCAGTTAAGTTTAGTTGATCTTTCACAGACCAAGAACTTTTGTTGTTCATTGCTCCCTCTGAGCACAGTGTGGGAGGAGAGACCCCTGTCTAATAAGGGAAAGTGAAGCACTTTAACATCTGCTAAGTTTATCTGCTGTCAGATCCTCTGACACAAACATGTTGTCATGTTTGTTTTATAAATCAAAGTGAAAAGAATATTTCCTGCATAGGTGACACATTGGTCTTAAGTTTGTGAAAAACACAAATATATAAAACACGTAAAACAAAGTACATTACACACCTCTTTACACAGATTTATTGTTCTGAACAAGCTCTGGTACCAACATTAACAATACTGCCTCTTACTATAGTGTGGATAAAAATGACAACCACAACAACCAGAAACTCACTAGTAACACTATGGTGCACACAAACGGGACAAAAAAAGGGAGTGAAATCAGTTTTCTTTTCTCAGGGTGGTATAGCCTCTGGGACAACATTTAGACAATCAGGAGGCTATTTCCTTAAAAACAGCACTGGTGTAAAACCAGTGGTTTTCCCCTCCTCAACCAAAGCTTCAAATGCCCATTAATGAAAGTGGGGGATTTTTGAGGTTGCTGAAGATGTAGTTCTAGCTGCCTATGGGGTCAAAGAGTGACTTATACTGCAGAACTGACCCCCCGTCTGACCAAGGTTACCTTCAGCGGGTGAGGGCAGAGCAGGAGTGCCCGGCTGGGAGTAGCAGAGGAACATCTGCTGGTCGAGGCTTCTCAGGGCATGGTAGGTGGGGTGGGTGTGCTGCTGGACAAAGACGTGGCCAGCCGAGACGATGTTCACCACTATCACTTCGACTGTCACTCCGCTGGGGAGCAGAAGCTGAGGAGGAAAATGAATGACACAAGAGGAACTGTTACCCTTCCAGTATCTGTTACCCTTTCCTATTGCTAAAGCCACAGCAAAAAAGGAGCATCCTTAGATATTTCAATGACACGAGTGCTAGGGTTGGGCAGATTTTTCTCATTTTCAAATGGGCTTGATATTAAGCCACATACCATACAGGACCGATAACACTGAATTTCACCCCTAGGTGTCATACATGATTCAGCTGCCCGAGTGGAACAGAATGACAGTTTTCCACAACACGTTCTTATAAATATTTCACAATAAAAGCCTTGTTAGAAAATTAAGGGTTTCTGTCCACAGAGGGCTTTTAATTTGAAACACATACAGGTAGTGTTGATGTTCTATTAACAGTGTAATGCAGCAACTTGAATTGGGTTACAGACTGTACTAGCTTGTTAGCTTAGTTCTTTTTGTCTTGTTCACTCTACAAAAAGGACAAATTAAGAGATTTCAACTAGCACCAAATTGTAAATGTTATAAAGAGTTCGGTCTAGACCTGCTCTATTTGAAAAGTGTCCTGAAATAACTTCTGTTATGACTTGGTGCTATACAAATAAAATTGAATTGAATTTTGAAAAAAAAATTGGGGTTGAAATATGCTAGAAAGCATGAAAATCAAGGCATTTTCAAGATATTATTAGTCGTGCTAGTCTGGCTGCTCTGTGCCATGCTTTATTTTGAGAGTTGATTTTTAGCCGCTACAAAATGTTGCCACAGACCCCATCCTTACCCAGGAGGTCATGGGAAGTGATGGCAATGTGAGCGGAGGTGGCGGAGGTGCATAAAGGTTGGTCAAGTCCAGATCCTTAAACTTCTTCCCAATCAAGGACAGGGCTTTATCAACCTGTTGCTGCGTACCTGGAGAGAGATCAAACACAAGTCTAGTTTTAGGCCCAAAATTACACTGATATAGTGGAAAATAGTTTTTCATTGAAATACTCAGATTTCTCTCATCTAGTAAGAATCTGGGTTTCCACATAAATCAATTTCCTTCCCCCAACCCCTTCAAAAGTCTTTAGGGGATGTGGGGACCTGGTTCACCTGACTTACCCTCTATGTGACAGATCTGGAACTCCTGTGTGTAAGGCAGGGTGGAGATGTAGATCTTCGCGCCAGAATTCTGCTTCAGGAAACTCACATATCTCCCTTGTTTCCCTATTAACCGCCCTACAAGATGCTGTTAAAAGAAGAGACTGTAACATGTCAAAAGGACAGTTCATTTGTACAAAACAGTGTTTAAAGACCAAACCCCAAGAGCCTAGCCACACCTGGACAAATTGACATCATAGATTCACTACAAATCTTTTACATTTTGTCTTTGGACTACCTATCTTAAAATATAAATATTATAATAAATATTTTCTTAAATATTTCACTAATGTTTTGCCCCCAGCGTAGAATTTAAGTCAAGGTGGCAGTCTTTGCCCTCAGCCCGTGGACTTGGCCCACTACCCTATACTGTAAATGATTAACTGGTAGATTGTGTGAGCGTTATGAATGGTGGGTGTGTTTACTCTCACTTAAAATAACCGCTGTGAAACCGCCGGCTTTGTCGCTACTGCTTTCCGTCTCTCTCTTAAACAAATGGATGCAATTCAAAAGAAGCTTCTTGGTATTGTTATTTTACAGCATAAACTGCAAGCCAGACACAGACCTTGAAGTCTGAAAGACAATCATCCTTGGCTCAAAATTTATTTTTTCCCCTCAGTGTCCTGCTACTGTCCTGAATTCTACTTTCAAGTGTCCCAGACTTTACAGCCATTGCTCCAAAATAAACAGTTGCTCATTAAACCTTTCCTAAGTACAAGAGTTCATACACAACTACATACACTTTACAACAGTGCGATAATTATTATTATTATTATAACACTTTCATAAACTGCACATTAGATGACATGTAAAATAATACATGTATTGACAGTGACCAGTATGGTGCAGATAAACTAACCTGTCACTAAGCCCCGCCCTCCTCAGTTAGTTTACCCAAATAAACTGGAAATTTGCTCTGATATTTTACAAGCTGGATATTTTACAAGTTTCCCTACAGTCCTAGAAACATCCCAGGCACTATCTTTGTTGTCCCAGGTGCTTTTTTTTTTTTTTAAGTTGTCCCAGGAACAAAAGGGACATCCTAAATTTCAAGTGCCGGCCCTGCAGGCCCCACCACCACAACCTAAGCGCATTTTCACTGCTGCTCCTGATGCAGTCTGATTGGCCCCAAGTGGTGTGCTACCACCACAATTTGCCAAAGTCAGAACCCTGAAATTAAAGACGGATACCAATATTGATATTTTCGATTAAAACTAAAATTGGGCACAATTTGGCGCTTATTATTATTATTACTGAAAGGACTTCTCCTGTGAGGTGGTGTACATTGTGAAGGACGTTGACACGTCACACTGATAATTATGTATGGTTGGATATGTGTGTCGGTTGTCCTGACTCACCTTTGGCACCTCAATTTCCCAGATGATGAGCTCAGAGCTCAAGGAGGCAGCGTGGTTGCTCTGGCTTTCTCCAGCACCCATAGTGCAGCCACTGTCCACTGAGTCCATACTGTTTACATCAGAGCCTGGACACACACACACAAAAAAAATCATAATCTCCTTTACCAGCACTTTTTACAGCAACATAGATGTTTCAGGATCCAGTGCTCATTTTAAGCAATTAGTGTATTCGTTAACACAGAGGTTTATAAAGTGTGAGTTGGGGTTGTTACCGTTTTTCCCACTTTACCAGACTCAGAAAATAATAAATGCCTTAGGATAGAACTTTATTTATGCATTTGGTACAGTCTGAAGTCATGTCAAAGAACAACATTAGGCTATCTTGGCTCAATTGTTGAGTGCCTATGGGCTCAATTAACAATCATTAGGTGGGACCTTTTCCCAAGCTTTGCCTGAGGGGAGGCCCACAGTCTCTGACTTTGAAAAGCCCTGCTTTAAGAGAAATCATTACTACAGTTGTGAGACATCAGCATGATACTGGAAAGAACTGCATCTACACTGTAGTTTATACCCCACTTTGTCACATTTGGTATGAAGTCACTTTTTCTGGCCTAATGTCTCCAATCATGTCCCTCCACAAGTTACTGAGTTGATAGTGAAAGGGTTTTTACTAGTGCTGTCAGTTAAACGCGTTAACGCAAACCCATTTTAACGGAGTCAATTTTTTTTATCGCAAGATTAACGTTCTTTTTGACCTAGCACACTTTGTAGTTTTTTTCATACGCTGTTGCAACAACTAGTAACGTTAGAAAAACTACAACACCACACCGGATCTAGCTAGACCGGAAACAAAACAACAGGCACGCCGCACACACTTGTTTAAGAGTAGTAGACGTTATGTTTTGAGTGGATGGCGAGCGTGAGACGCCGAAATGGATGCCAATAATATTCTGAATGAAAAGTTTACTTTTAAAAAGTTGCCAAATGGTTCCATTGACAAGACCAAAGTGATCTGTGTGTTTTGTCGTTGTGAACTGAGCTATCATCGCAGCACGTCCAGTCTGAAATACCACTTGATGGCCAAGCACACAGCTGATGTGAATTCTCCTCCCCCTCGTCAAGGCCAGGCGACAATGGATGATTTTTCAATAAAAACAACATTTGCACAAAGCAAGCCGATCCACTTTTCCATGGTGATAAGAGCATTAAATGAGAAAAAAATAATGGGACAAAAAGAAATCAAGGGACATTTAGAATAGATAAAAATGTGCGATTAATTGCGAGTTAACTATGACATTAATGTGATTAATCGCGATTAAATATTTTAATCGTTTGACAGCACTAGTTTTTACAATTTGTCACGGTTTCACAATTCATAAAGCTTTCCACCTACTAACAATTGCTTTCCATAATGTGAGCATTCAACATTTAAAAAACTTTTTATTCAAATTCAAATTTACTTTAATTCAAATAATTTGTAACTCTACGTCGACCAATTTGGGTTTTTCAGTGGCCAATATTTAAAGAGCACAGCGGCCGATGGTGGATATACAATGCTAATATCAAAAGGACAATAAAATAATGTATAGTTCCATTACCCTTCTTCAAAGCAGTTATTTAATCGTAGGATAAACACAGGTGTTACCAATGACTAATTAAAGGACCAGTGTGTAGGATTTTGTGGCATGTAGTGGAACTGAACACCGCTGACAATTGTCTGACAACCTGGGAAAGGGAACGAGTTGTGAAGTGTGTAGAAGAAACTAAGTTGGCCACGGAATTCACAAAAATAAAAATAAAAAATCAGCCTTTCCACTGAGCCAACTTGTACAATATGACTCCGTTTGACCTGAATGGAGTGGAACCTTAATTAGCATCATTGGTAACACCTGTGTTTACCCCATTTCCTGTCAAAATAGCTGATGTGAAAAAGTTCTGTTAATCCCCGCACATTACAATCTAATATACACCGTAATCTTAGCCAACAACATGTTTTAGAGGTAATTTGAATGAATTCATGAAACAGTTCGGCTGCAGATTTCAGAATGTGGACAGTACTTAAGAGGGAGCGGGGTGCAGTATGTCAGGAGATCATTCTCACCCATATTTCAATTCAATTCAATTTTATTTGTATAGCGCCAATTCATAACAGAAGTTATCTCAGGACACTTTTCAAATAGAACAGGTCTAGACCGAACTCTTTAAAAATATACATACATATAGGACCACTTGTTTTTATGTGACAATAGTGTAGTTCCATACTTGAATAACAGGGTGGCAACAACTGAACAAACTATATGACAACTGAGCAAACACCTGAAAAAGCTATCAATTGACTTTGCTGTTCCTACAGTCAGCAATAAACGTTCACTCCCAAAATGTTTTCTGATCTGCTCGACTTGCTTTATTAATTTACTGTTAAAACACTTAAATATACTTTAACATGATGCACACTTTCAACATTGGCCCTGCTACACTCAAGAGTTTTTCCTCTTAAAACAAATACTGATGCCATTCACTCATCAATTCTAATCAGTCCTACTGCATCAGTCTTCATTCATACTGTACAGCAGTAAACAACTTTACTTATGTAGCACCTTTCAAAAGCTACAAAAGTTACGAATAACGTTTGTTATTTGTTTACCAAAAAAAGCATTATTGGCCAATATATCATTATCAGATTTTTAAACCTGCCAAAACTTATGGGCCTCAAAAATACAGTTCTGGTCTGGCTATACTCGGCAACACACTCACGGACTCAGAAGTGCATTCCTTGTAAGTCCCACTGTCAAATCATCAAGCGTGTGAGGGCTAGCATGCAGACTTTTTTGAGGCCTTCATGCAAACGTTGAAGGCATTTCTGCTGACTTAGGCTGAGGGAATTACCCACAGCTCTGAAGTGTGTGAAACTGATGAAAACCTCTCGTCAACTCCGTAAGATGTTAAACCAGGTAGACAGTCCCTTAAGTGCACTGGCCATGAATAAAGTAAAAAAACACATAAAATAAGTCCCAAACTCACAATTGTACGCAACATGTTTTGGCATTGTCCAGGTAAAGTGATATGTCGCTGTCCCCTTCCTATTTATACCATTTTGGGCCCTTGCAGCCTCGCGCACTCAAGCACGTACGAGGTGACATCAACTAAGTGAGAGTTTAGATGTGAGGACCTTGCTGATTACACAGCTGCTTACACTAATAACCAGAATAAAATGACAACGAAATTTGCTTTCTCACCTCCAGACTGGTCTGTCTCCCCCTCACACGTCCCATGAGCGCCATTCCTCAAGCCCATTCCATTGAGCCTTTTTATCTCACATACAGAATCCACCGAGTTTTCTTCAGTTTCGGCCAAAACCGTTGCCTCTGTGGCGGTCTCAACCAATGACTGAGGCTGTGTGGCTTCTTTTGCTGACAAGTCTGTAACCTGGATCACATCCATTTGGTTGTCAAACATGCTGTTCTGGAGGTCCTCACTGCTGATGCCATCCTCAGAGTGGCATGTGCTGCAGGCTGAGTCCTCAGCCAGCACGGCTGCTTCATCACTTTTCAGTTTCGTGTTTAGCAAAGGGGCACTTTGTGCTGCTGGGTGTGATGGTGTTGGCCAATGGCCTCTCTGTGCACTGTTTGTCTGATAAACCCTGTGACTGACCTCAACAGGCTCCCATACTGGAGTTGAGGAGCATCCGTTAGACATCCCTTGCCCCTCCTTCTCTGTTGCCTCTCTAGACTCACAGCCTATCTGAGAGGGGCTCATCAGTAGATGGTGGTTCTGCTGTGCTGCTGTGATTGGCTCCTGTTGGGAGAATAGTCTTCCACTACCCAGCGGTGTGCTGCTACTGCAGCTGGAGTGGCTGTTGCCTGTGACCTGGCAGCTGGTGACACCAAGGACCTCCTGGGTGGCTGCCGAGATGACCTCAGTTATGAGTCCAGATGCCAGAAGCTCCAGATCTTGCTCCTCTGCACTGTCGCTGTGTACTTGGATGTCCTCTGAGGTCACTGATTTGGTAGTGGAGTCTTGGACCGTGGTCAGGGCTGTGGAGGCCGGAGCCAGGGCAGGGAAGGTGGGCGTGCTGGTTAGAATGTGTTGGTGGAAGTCCTGCACTGAAGGGGGGGTCTCTATAGAGTCAGCCTCTGAGGGGGTCACTCTCTGCACTTTGGCTGGGGTGACTACACAAACAACCATCTCATCTTGTGTATTAACAGTGCTGTGGTGCTTTGCAACTTCCCCCTCTGGCTCAGGCCTCTCTGCATCAGAAAGGTGTGCTGTTGGGGGGGAGGAGCTGCTGACTTTGGTAGACAAGATGTCATCTTCTACTATGGCTGGATCTTTCTCCAGCCCTTTTACCAAGGCAGGTGATGCACTTTCCTCTGGGTCTTTATGGTCTTTCACTGACACCTGCAGGCTGTCTTCTTTGCCAGGTGATGGTAGGTTCCAGACTGGGGGTTTATGGACTTCCTCTGGTCTTAATCTCCCAAGGTAAGCAGCAGATTCTTCAGAACTTTGTTGCAGTAAAGGTGCTGCTTCCGTGTCCTGGACTTGGATCTGGGAAATATTTTCATGTTCTGGTCTCTGGTTACTGACCATTAGAGGTATGTGGGTGGGGCTTTCTGTGTCATTTGTGGGGGATACAGTGCCTTTCTCAACCAAACCGTTGCTACCCTCTGCTGGAGATGTTCTAAGGCCCATAGCGGTTGGAGCCCCCTCTGGGCTGTCATGGCTGATGAGCCGCTCTTTCTTCCGTGAGATGTACCACCACCAGCCGATCAGTGCCAGGACTCCAGGCAGTGTGTAGGGCACGACAGAACGAAACCTCAGCGGCATTTCCTCAGGACACTAACAGCTACACCTGAAAGTTACAAAGACACAAACAGATTTGTATTAGTTGAGGGAAATTTCAAACTGAAAAACAATTTACAGCAAATCTGAGAAAACCGGTCACAATCTGCCTATTGATTGCAGGTTAATTTAAGGATTAACTTTCATTTTACCCTTAAATTTAGTCTTTGTGACCGAATGAAAGACCAAGCAGCTATGAAATTAGTTAAAAGTCATCAATTAAATCTCATGAAATCTTCTGGAGAATGTAATACAAATGCATTCCATTTGTACATTCACATAGTAACTTGGCTTGGGGGTTAAGCTGACCATGAACCACAGCACTCTCTGTTTGGGTCCAGCTGGGAAACTGTTTCATGCAATTTCCTCTCTGTTTATTTTCTGTACTCTGCTGTACAGTTGGGAAACAAGTTTTATGTCTGATGCCTAATACACTGAACACCTATATTGGACCCCAATCCAAATCATGCAGTTGGCTTGGTCATGATATTACGTTTTGGAAAAATGTATCGATTCTAGGTTCAAGGTCACTTCATTTGTACCCATATGTAGGTTTGCAGGCAAGACAAGGCATTCCTCTTGGAAAAAAATATAAAAAAACCAACAACTAAGACAATAGACAAACATGATAAAGTTACATGCAAAGATGTGTGGCAGTGGTTTTCATTTATTAACTACTTGAGAAATAACTGGCACACTACAACAGAATATGAATCTTTAAAATAGGATCTAAAACTTCTGCACTAACCGTTTTTTTTTTTGTTTACCGCTCAGGTTGCAGAAAAAGTAGGGCCATGATGCTGGATGTTACAGGGACTGTGACCAATATAAATGCAGATTGCACTGTTTTGTGCCCTGCCCTCACCAGTGCCTGAAGCCCCAACCAAAACAAGGCTGTTTCCAGTCTAAATGTCTGCTAAAACTCTGATGCTGAAGAGTGTCATGACCATTCCAGCTGTGTGGTTATTTTATTCAGAGCCTTAACACTCCTTTTGACTCCTTTATACTCTGTGGGAAATGCTCCACTAGAAAGACAAGCCCTTAGATCTCAAAGTCAAACATACAGCAAAGAATGAACAGGCAAGAACACAGAAGGTTGAAGGTCTTACACTTACAATATAATTAGCTTGTCAAATCAGCCCCAACTGAAGAAACAAATAGCCCTCCATAAGCAATTCCTAGTGTCCCACCTTACAGGAGGTGACTCCCTGTCAGTGTTAAAAAAAGGCCATGTGCACATGCCTTTCCTTAACAGACCAGGACAAGACTGCCTCCACCAGGAGGAATGCATCACATGGGGTGGATGTGAGCCAATCACAACCTGCCATGCTTCCCGACACGGCTCTCATTGGCAGCTGCTCTTAAGTTCTCGTGTGTGTACATATACAAGGAGTTTGTCAGGGAGGAAGCCCCAATGAGCCTGGACTTTTGACCTCTGTGGCTGCTGGCACTCAACAGGCTAGCAGCAGAGTCCTGGGATATACTTTAACATTCAGAAAAACAGACAGAATGGCTTTATAAGAAATTGTTGTTGCAGAGCAAGAAATACAAAAAGACAACGGCTAATGTGCGTTTTTATGAATATAGCACAGTGTGAGATGTTGTGAAAAATCCCTGGTATCCTACTACTTTAATGATTTAGCGATCTGAAATACATTTCTGAAAACTCGAATGTCACCATTTAGACTAGAGGGTGCAAACATGTCAATGTACCTAGGCTATGGCCCTTGTCTTGAATAATGAATAGCCATGAAGACTCATTTCCAAAAAGGTGGGAAAGACTACACCATCCACACATTAGGCCGTGGAGGAACCCATTGTGGTTTACAGGTGCATAAAAGTACTAGACAATTTGAGTTTATGACCAAACAACTCCGTATTTCTTAAAAACTTCACCCTTGACCTTTACTAATGTAATCCTGTACACATTTCATATTTGTCCATCTGGTTTAATCAATTTACTTAATCCATTTTCTCAGAATGATTATGGTGTTGAGTTACTGTAGCAACAGCAACTAACATTACAGGCTGTTGTAGCGGGTCCAATCAGTACATCAGGCATATTGCCAATGAGCTTCACTGTTTGAAAAATCAAAACAAGCATGGACAACTCTACGCACATCTACTAACTCTAACTCTACAACAAATTACCAAATCCACATTACCCATGTAATAGGCACCGATCCGATACCACGTCATTTATTAGGAATAGGAATCTATTTACTGGTTAGCTCCGTAAGCTCTGACACAGTTCTTCTTCGCAGCTCTTAAAACAGTTGCGCTGTGCTGCCATCGCCAGCTGCTGTTTTAGAGGGGCGAAGAAGAATTGATCACCTGACACCTGTTAAAAGGAGCTAACATTAGCGCATCATGTCGGCGGTTTGGCAGTACTTTACAGTGGATGTTCCCACCAGTAAGACAGCGACATGAAGCAATTTCAAGGGGTGGCACTAGTGTTGCAAATTTCAACACCAGCTAAAGAGCATGACGAATTTACCAAAGCTAAGGGGGGAAAAGAAGGACGAACTGCAGCAGCAAACTCTGGAAACTGCCTTCCAGCGACGAGATAAATTCAGCCAAAAAGCAACAAAGATAACCGACAAAATTTTGGAGTTTATTGTCCTGGATGACCAACCCCTGTCTGTCGTCGAAAAAATGTGGGATTTCGCCGCTTAATGGAGCATTTGGAGCCAAGGTACTTGGCTGCACTTTCATTTTTTTTTTATAATTATTCCTACATTTGTTGAATTAAGTTGATGTTGCACTACTGTTTTATACTGTTCTATTAAAAAATAAATTTAAAAATAAATGGCTTCCATTTGCTGTATTCATTCATGTTTTACAAAGGGTTTAACCTGAGCCAGGCCTTACCACAATGATGATCATATCACAGTCATGCAGGCGTAGTATGATTTTTTTCTTTTTTCTTAACACACTGGTATCGGCCGATACCCACAGCACGAGTATCGGAATCGGTATCGGGAGGGAGAAAATGGTATCGGAACATCTCTAATTTGTTGTATTACAAAAAGTTGCAGTTGGTTGTCAGAGCATCCTTGAGGGCACCATAGTTTCTCTTACTAACTTGTAAGGCGACAGTAAAGTGAGGGAGTTGCACATTGGACCTATAGGTTTATTATTGGTATAGAATTTAAGTCATTCTGCTCTGCCTTTTATTATTCAACAAATTTCCCCAGTGAGAGCAGTGGCTACCTCGGTAGTGGCTAATGCAGGTCCAAACTAAATAAAAAGTTCAGTTTTGCAATGGATAATATGAAAAGAATGTGGCTGCATCCACAATAAACTGGTGAGATGGATGAACTCATCGTGGCAAGCAACACCTTTAAACATGAATGAAAAACCATTTGCACCACAGTCTGTGATTAAAGTAGATTACAGCCTGCATGGCAGAATAATATGATGTTGTGCCACCTTTGCGCATTGTTTGTTTCAAGTAAAGCTACATAATCCATGAAATTTAAGCTGCAGTAGGTAACTTTGATAAAAGTATCCTTGTAAACCTTTGCTGAAACTTTCACTATATCGTGACAGTAGAACATGAGACAGATAATCTGTGAAAAATTCAGGTTGCTCTGGCTCCTCCTAATGGTATTTCAGGAATCCACCGGGCCTCATTAAAAGAACAAAAATCAGAGCTGAGAAAGATGGTTAACTGTTGAGTCTCATTCCCAGGTCATCAAATACAGATGCTGGGAATAAGACTCAACAATCAACTATCTTCAAGCCAAACCAAAGTGTTTTACTTGGCTCAGATTATCCGTCTCGTCTACTACTGTGAAAGTTTCAGCAAATGATTAAAGCTTTGTTTTTGTAAAAGTTACCTACTGCAGCTTTAACTCAACTCTGACATGAAAATGTGCAAGCAAAAACAAAGCTTTCATGTAAGTAACACTGCTTTTATGTAGACTACACCTAGGCTTATCTTTCAACTTCTGTGTATTACATAAATAATCTAGGTCATCTTGGAGATCAACCATGAACAACAAATAAACGGGGTCTGAGGATGCAGATTTAGTAGAAATGAACTCTATGGAGGATGTTAAAAATGACTCCTGCAATTCAAGCAGCCATGTGCAATAGTTAAAGTGAATTCAATATCAAATCAACAACGGAAAACTTTCCATATGGGTGCCTGAACTAAAACAGAAAAGGTGCTGATGAGCGTGTACATGTGTCTGTGAAATGGTGGCCAGCACTACATTCACCTTGGACAAGGTTACAATAGAAGTTACACACACTCAAATCTAGAGCACTCAGTAGAGAGCAGACTGCTGTTCATTGGTGCTTTTTTTGACCTTAAAGTCAAGATTCAGAGTGTGACCTTGGGGTCCTGAAAGGGGAGTGGCCAGGCTGTATTTACATGTTACAGACGTACAACGTGCTGAGCACAGGCAGACTAAGCAGCTTTCACAATGGACACAGGACAACCTTCCTTTTAACAACACACCATCCCTGTACACTAACGGGACATACACTCAATCCATCCGTGACATTGTGGAACACTGACACAGGAATTGCATATAACCGGAATTGTAGAGTGGCCCTCGTTTCAGCACATTACCGTAACATTTCACTCGATACTTCAAGGAATTCATGTCTGGAGAAATTCGTACGCCGTCTTGTCAAAGGATGACACAATGTACCGGGGCTTCACTGCTACAGTCAAGTTTTAACTTCACTGGCGTTTCTGTTAGCTTGCTACAACAACAACAACGGGCTAATCCTTCAATTAAGCTAACACATAAGTCAAACAGAAACCTTATTACTGCCGTTTACAAACCCAGGACACGATGAGAGGTTGCACCTTGACTCGCCGGGTTGCCTAATAAGCGGGTCATAGTGCCAACTTTCAGCAACGACTGAGCTAATGTCACCACATCAGCTAGCAACGTGCTAATACTGTCACCTACAATGTGACTGTGCGTGGCTCACACTGTATAATCCCACTGGTGCTCAGTGCCAGCTACGTACGACCAGTCAGTCCTTCACAACACAGACAATTACTGACACAACGTGAAACTTTACTTGAACTTCTGGTCGTTTAATGTTTCCTTGCAGTCAGAAGGGAAAGCTAGCGTTACGTTATGCGTATCGAAAAAAACTCAAAACGTTTTCCTCCTGAAAGTCTTTGCATGCATCAATACACCGACACTAGCTAACACAGTAACGTTACAATACAGAACTAGTGGGTGGTAGGTTCAATTAGCTAGCAAGCAATGAGAACAAATCACTGTTACAGAAACTGAAACTTAGTCAACATGGGCCTCATGTGAATGCCGAATTTATCGGAACACACTAAACACCCTCAGCATAACATAACTTCAGTAACGTAACGTACTAAAATGCACAACGTCTTGGCGTAACACCTTTGAATGAAATCCGGAACCAGGTGGTTGTGACCGAACGTCTCACTACTGAAAGATTCACAGCTTTTTCCTCCTAAAAGTATTTGCATGCCTCAATACAGCAACACTAGCTAACAGGACAACCCATCTTTGGAATAAAGACACAACCAACGTTAGTTGGGCGGTGAGTTAAGGTAACGTTAGCTAGCAAGCAATGATAACTTAAATTACCGTTATAGAAACTGAAACTTGGTTCATGTGTATCGCTAGGTGCTTCATTTGAATGCCGAATTTATCCAAACACTCTGAACATCCTCAGAAGAACTCATGTTCAGTACTAAAATGCACAATGTCTTGCCAGTACGATGGTTAGTGTTAACTACAACAAATATACAGGCAGTTTGGCGTAACATTGCCTCCGAGGTGGTTGTGACCTAATGTTACACGACTGGGAATAAAGCACTGCTGGTAAGGAGGCCGCAGTGCAGGATACAAAGTATGAAGTTAGCAGACTAGCCGGCACATTGTTTATAATGCTAAACGTCAATGGATATAAGCACCAACTGAAGTGACACAAGAATCGCCATTCCCTCCACTGCATTATTTTTGGCCCATTGAACATGACCGTGGGTTGGTTACATCATTAAAGCCTCGTGTTTAAGGCCACTTCAGAGTTGAATTCTGATCGCGTTAGGCCACGACATAAAGGCAAGACATCACACAGCTTTGAACGCGACCGAATGCACCAGCGTGGGCTCGTGCCGGACTGACGCAGGGTTAAAGGACGTTTTAAGCCAAAGAGTGACATGGGCCTCAGACCTTCACGTTAGCTTGCTAGCCGGCCTGGCGAAAATAATAGCCAACTGCACACTTACTGCTGACAACCTACAAACATTTGTTACTATTCGAGACACATGAGCCTGCTGTTAATAAGTGCACAGAGACCGCAGGGGAGAAGGAATTAGGATAATCTAAGTTACACAACGAGGAAAGAGGCTAGCTGGAGTGCGCTCACTGTTAAGTTAGAGAAAGATGAGTAGGCTAGTTGTTCAATGACATGGGATTACTGCACTCAGACGGTGACACAGTAATCTGTAGATAGACTGCAGACACGCGTGGAAAGGCCCATGAATGGTTTTTTTTTATATACATTGTGCGTGTTGCACTCGTTTGCGTTGATTTGAACTAAGTCACGCTGTGTGGACATGATGTCTATCGGCTGGCATGGTGTTTCCAACCTCAGTACGCTAAATGCAGTTTTCTGTTTACTTACAGTATTTTAGGGTCCTCGGTGCCGCCACGATGAAAGCAGTACTATTAATGTGAGTTTTTCAAACGTGTCCCTGTGGAAAGTCAGTCTCTCCTCCCCACGTGTTGACCGACTAGCACCAGTCTAAAAAAACATAGACTAAACAGCTGGTCAAATCTCGCGATGCTCAGGACGGTGGAGCCGCCTGTAGTCTCGCGTCAGCTGAGAATGCAGTAAAGGCACATACATGCAGCCCTTCACGAATAAACTGAGGGAATTAGAGGTGCAGGAAGTCACATTAAAAGGATTACTGAGAGAGCACAGGCGACGAACTGTTGGCATTCTTAAAGGATACATGGGTTTCTATTGGATGTGATGATGAACAGGAATAGGTTCTAGGGTGCCTGATATGTATAGGGATTTTAAAGTAGGACTAGAGCAGTGGTTCCCAACCTTTTAACCTTAAGGAACACATTTTCTATCATTGAGTTACTTAAACTGACTACGTGACAAATATTATGAATATTTAATTAATATATTCAGAACTGAACAATAAACCTGAACAGTGAATACAACAACTACAGGAAGTCATTTGGATACATTTTTAACACATTCTTTTCTGTGAACTTTGATCAGAGATGAGTTTTCCTCATTTTAGCAACTTTTTCTTTATAGAATTCTCTGTGTATATCATGTATTTTTATTTTTTAACAATCAAACATACTTAACTGGCTTCTTTTTTGGCCAATTCAGTGTTTTCTTCTCCCTGATGCTTGGCTATTGTTCTATTAACTGTTTGTTACAACTATTGTTGTTTGAACTTTTCCAATGCAGGACAGGGCTGTTTATCATTTTATTTTTATTTTTAAACTAAAACTTTAAAAATAAATTAATTTAGTTTTCTTCACAGAAATGAACAACATGCTGAGTTATAGGCTGTATATAATGTGTATATTTTTTAGGTTTTCTTACAGCCCTTAAAATTAAAAAAGGCCTTGCAAAACCCATTAAGCTTTGGCAACCTATAGTTGGGGTTCCGGACTCCAGATTGGGAACCACTGGACAGTTGTAAAGCATGGAGGATATGTGTGTTCGTTAAGCAGAAGGTGGCAGTAATGCAGCAATAACCTGAATACCAACCACTGTAAAACAAGAAGAAGAACTAGGTTGCGCAATACCTATCATGTATAGGTTGGGGCGGCTGTGGCTCAGAGGCAGAGCGGGTCGTCCCCTAATCAGAAGGTTGGTGGTTTGATCCCCGGTTCTTCCTGTCATGTGTCAAAGTATCCTTGAGTGAGTTACTGCTCATGGCTTTGCCGTGAATGTGTGTGAAAGGGTGAATGTGGCACATGGTCGGGAGACTAGAAAGGCACTATACAAGTACAGGTCCATTTACCATTTACCTAATAATCGTTCCCACATGGGCAATTGACACAGAATCTGTGGACAATCTCATATAGGGCCCATTTTTCAGCCAATCTAATACCCACATCGGCCCAAATGTTGGCTGGGTAAAGGCTGCAGAAGCAACACAAGGATAAACATGCACAGAGGCCAGTGGTGGAAAGAGTACTGAAAGTCTGTAATTAAGTTGAAGTACTGTAACAGTACTGAAATATGACTCAACAATAGCTAAAACTATAGGTGTTAAGAAAATACTCTAGTAAATGTACAAAGTATTCTTCTCAATTCTTCTTCAGGGTGGCAGTATCTCAGTCTATAGGGGCTAGGCTTGGAAACCGGAGGGTCACTGGTTCTATTCCAGCATATCAAGTTTGCCTCCTGCTAGTATTGTCATCTCATAGGTAGGCCAATTCAACATTCAAGTGCGACCAGAAAGCACAATATTCAGAAAATATTTCTGTTACTAACATACTTAACAAAAGAAAATGCACAGCAGTTAACAAGTGAAGTCCTGAAACCTACTCTCTTCTTGTGAACTGTTTGCACACATTTGCAGGCACCATTGACCTTTGTCATTTTTTTTTAAATAGAGGTGTATTTCTACTTCAATTGTATATTAAGGGATTCTTTAAATTGATATGAAACAACTGGAAAAAGAAAAACAATAATCTTGCATGTCCGATTATATTTTTGACATTGTGTTGCGGGCTGGAGGGAAGGGCACAGAGGACAGGAAATGGCACCAGGGCCAGCAGTTTGAGATCCTTGATTTAGTGACATCTAATGGTGTAGTTGCAGATTGCAAATCCCTCACTTAACCCTGTTCCTCCAAGCACAATGTAGAAACTATGGTAGCAAAACGGCCCTATTTAGAGCCAGGGTTTGTTTTGTCCCATTAAAAAAGTGTTTTAAAGGTCAAGTGTGTAACATTTAGGAGGATCTATTGGAATCATTGTTTTTGTTTTGAATGAGCCGTATTTATCTACAGACACCACAGGCTACCTTACATTGAGTGCACCATGTTGAAACGCCATGTTTCTAAGGTACTGTAGAGGGTACAAACCAAACACTGGATCTAGATAGGGTTGTTTGCATTTTCTGTGCTTCAGTCCTTCAAGCTTAAAAAGGGAGGGTGAAGTGAGAGAGTACCACTAGATGCCACACAATTATACACACTGGTCCTTTAATTACAGTAACATAGTTGAAATTCATGACTTCCACCTGTAACAGAAACACACACACACAGAAATGTGCATCTTCTAAGATCACTGTATTAAATTCCTCCATCATTATCTCTTTTGCACCAAATCAGAACCCTGAGAAAGAGACAATTTTAACTTGTTGAGGTTACTTGTCGATATACACCGATCAGACGTAATATTTTGACCTCTGACAGGTGAAGTGAATAACACAGGTTATCTGGTTATCATGGCTCCTTTCAGTGTGTGGGATATATTAGGCAGCAAGTTAACTTTTTGTCCTCAAAGTTGATGTGTTAGAAGCAGGAAAAATGGGCAGCTTGAGGATTTGTAATGACTTTGACAAGGGCCACATTGTGATGGCTAGACGACTGGGTCAGATCATCTCCAAAACTGTAGCTCTTGTGGGGTGTTCCTGGTCTGCAGAGGTCAGTACCTATCAAAAGTGCTCCAAGGAAGGAAAATCGGTGAACCGGAGACAGGGTCATGGATGGCCAAGGCTCACAGATGCATGTGGGGAGTGAAGGCTGGCCCGTGTGATCTGATCAAACAGACGAGATACTGTAGCTCAAACTGCTGAAAGAGTTAATGCTGGTTCTGATAGAAAGGTGTCAGAACACACAGTGCATCACAATTCGTTGGTATGGGACTGAATAACATTATGACCTGGGGTGCCCAGGTGCTCAGAATGCTGATCGGTGTATACTTGTAATAATAAGTTGTTAATATTTTAATGTAGCGTAAGGCTGCCACCACACTTTGGTCCGGTCTGGTCTGGTGTCCAAGGCGAGAGAATATTCACCACACTGACAGATATATATGTGGTTCAAAAAATGCCTTTATTGAAGGTACAAATTCATATATCAGTATCAAAGTGCATGGACCACTTTAAACTGTCGGCAGGTCAGAACCATTTCTACCAATAGGGGGAGGCAGAGGGCTACCTTAGCCACCAATGTTGCCTGACAGGGTATAAAATTATGCAGTGTATTTTAATAAATCATATATAGACTGAGACAAAAACTCTTAACAAGACAACATATAAACAGGAAAGTGCATTTGCACAACATTTTTTAGGCTTGGGAACATTTCCTTGTGGTCCTTCCACCACTGCAGGGGATCTGATTCACTGATTCACACAGACATAGGGTGACAGGGTGTCCCACTTTGTGTGGGACTGCACAGCATTTTTCTCCATTGTTCCACATATTCAGACAATGTACCACAATTTAACTGACACATACAGGCGCTCCGAAATGCAATACTGGGGATGGGTTATGCACCTGTTAATAAAGCACACATGTAATTTACTTAACGCTATGAAACACCAACCACTTTATTATTCACCTGGTTATAGTGCCGCCACGTGACACCACAAAGCCCTGAATAAATGCTGCCAGGCGCTAAATAAACAGCATCAGGCATTGAAATCACACATGGTCTTGATGCCATTTTTTAAAATCAATTTCGACCTCAACCCTATTCCAGCGTGTCCTCTGCTTTAAGTTTCTCAGAGTCCCCATCAACTACAGCCCTCTGGGAGGCACTACCTGAGCCTCAGAAACCAGGCTCAGAAACAACTTCTTCCCCCAAGCTGTTACCCATATGAACCTGGCCAGCTGGTGAACTCTACTAAAACTCTCTAGCACTAAATACTTCCATTTGCACTGATCTTCTGCTCTCATTTGCACTACCACCATTTCTTAATTAAATGCCTTTTGCACAGCTTCAATACAGCGTTCCTCTTGCACTACTTACATGTTTTCACTGCAATGTGCACAGCTCTATTACATAACTCAGACAAACACTACCTCATTTATCAACTTATACATATGTGATTTCTGTGTAATTGATCCCATGTTTTGTACATCTCCTATGGCCACCACCCATTTCTTTTCTTCTACTACTTGGTGAATGCACAGCCCCCCAAAACAGTGTCTTATCTAAAATGTAACTGTAATAATGTATCAATGTTCACTGTATTTACACTTTGTTGTCCAAAGATTTTATTATGAATTTATTGTAGGCTAGTTAAAGGGTGGAGTACTTTTTTTTATTCGATCTTTGAACACATCTATTAACTATTATTAATCTGTTACTTAAGAAATTAACCTACATGAAATATACAGTGGGTACGGAAAGTATTCAGACCCCTTTAAATTTTTCACTCTGTTTCATTGCAGCCATTTGCTAAAATCAAAAAAGTTCATTTTATTTCTCATTAATGTACAGTCAGCACCCCATCTTGACAGAAAAAAAACAGAAATGTAGAATTTTTTCAAATTTCAAAACTGAAATATCACATGGTCATAAGTATTCAGACCCTTTGCTCAGTATTGAGTAGAAGCACCCTTTTGAGCTACTACAGCCATGAGTCTTCTTGGGAATGATGCAACAAGTTTTTCACACCTGGATTTGGGGATCCTCTGCCATTCTTCCTTGCAGATCCTCTCCAGTTCTGTCAGGTTGGATGGTGAACGTTGGTGGACAGCCATTTTCAGATCTCTCCAGAGATGCTCAATTGGGTTTAGGTCAGGGCTCTGGCTGGGCCAGTCAAGAATGGTCACA